ACCCAAGACACTGGAAGAAGTAAGGCATGCAGCAGATATTGCAGAAAAGGCAAACCAGAGCACAGCAGTCCATGCCCTGAGGCCTGAGGATAATGAGATTGCCAAGCTCTCTGAAGCAATCAAGCAATTAATCTGTCTGCAGACAACCCGACACAGTTCCCAGGACACAGCTAATCCCCAACAGCCACCTCAAAAGACACATAGACGACGGCAGTATGATGGATGGAGGCAGCAACAGCAGCAGCAACAGAATTTGGTTCCCAAACCAAACTGTACACGTTGTGGTGGGTGGTGTCCAAGTATTCATGTCTGTAAATATAAAAAACTTACATGCACTATCTGTAGAATACCAGGCCATACTGAAGTAGTTTGCAGGAATAAACACTAGGATAAGGCGCCTGGCTCCAAACAGGGAACCAGGCACCCAAGGACGAAACCTTCAGATAACGTTCCAAAATCCTCAAGTAGATGTTTGTTAACTCAAACTTCAGAAAGAAATTTTATCAAAGTTCCCAAGATGATCAAAGTTCCCAAAGAAACCCCTGAACCTTCTATTTCACTAATTGAGCCTTTGGATATCAATACCATTAGGGTCTCCTTAAACAATGTCAAAACCAATGCCTTAGTAGACACAGGTGCAGCCATTTCTTGTGTTACACTCAGCTATCTCACAAAAGCAGGTTACTCAGAAAAAGATTTGCTACCCTCTTGTTACAATAGGATAACAGGTGTAGGTGGTGAGACCCATCCAGTGCTAGGTAGCATAACACTTTCCATTTCTATTAACCATCTTCAATTTGAACACCAATTTCATGTTTTCTCTAAACTGCACAACACACTAATATTAGGAATAGATTTTCTCCGTAAACATAGAGTTCAAATAGATCTCTTCCATTCAACAGTGCACTTCTGTGAAAATTTGTTCAGTGTACCACTAGTTCACAAAAACACAGGCACAGTTAGGGCTCAAAAACAATGCACTATTCCTCCACACACCCAGTGTGATCTTCCAGTTAAACTTATAAACACAGATACATCACAAACACTTCTTCTAGAGCCAGCTTCATCACTCTTCTATACAAACCTAGTAGCTGCTCGATGTTTGGTACAGCCAAACTCCAGAAAGTCAAGGATTCGCATCATGAATCCCACAAGTTCAACTGTCCATCTGAAGGCAAATACAATCTTGGCAACAGCATCTTACGTGGACCCGGATTTTACATGTCTGCTAGAAGACAACGAAGTTTCATCAGGGCCAAATATCAGTGCTACATTATCAGAGGTAAGTACAGAACCTTTAAAATTTGATCTCAGTAACTCTGACTTAACTCCGGATGAGAAGACGCAACTAGAGTGCTTCCTTGCTTCACAAAGGTCAGTATTTGCATCAAGTCTTCAGGAATTGGGCAAAACAGATCTTCATTTGCACAAAATAGAAACAGGTTCAGCAGCACCAGTACATATGCCTTTCTATCGGCAATCTTCAAAAGTAAGAGCAGAATGTGCAAGGCAAATTGATGAAATGTTAGCAGCAGGCATTATTGAACCCAGTGAATCAGAATGGCGCTCACCAGTAGTCATGGTGAAAAAGAGGGACGGTAGTCTTAGATTTGCAGTAGATTATAGAAAATTGAATGATCTTACCAGACCTATATTTTTCCAATGCCAAGGCTAGATGATGTTATTGATTCAGTTGGGCAAACTCAAGCAAAATATTTTTCCGTTTTGGACTGTGCTAATGGCTTTTGGCAAGTGCAATTGGATCCCGGAAACAAAACATAAAAGTGCTTTCATAACCCAAGAAGGGATATTTGAATTCAATAGATTACCTTTTGGTCTTAAAAATGCACCAATGGCATTTCAGGCAACTATGTCAAAAGCATTGAGAGAAATGAATTGGCGGTATGTCCTAATTTATGTTGATGATGTAATCATCCACTCAAGAACATTTCAAGAACACTTAAAGCATTTAAAATGTGTATTTTCCAAGTTGAAGGAAGCAGGTTTAACACTTAAACCATCCAAATGTCAATTTGCAGCTAAACAAGTGAAGTATTTAGGCCACATTTTCAGTAAAGATGGAATAAAAGTTGATACAGAGAAAACTGAAGCTGTAAGTTCATTTCCTCAACCTAAATCTCAACAAAATGTTCGACAGTTTTTAGGTCTTGCCAACTACTACCGCAAATTTGTAAAAGGTTACTCAAAAATAACCTTACCATTGAACCAATTGCTTCAAAAAGAAGTTAAATTTGATTGGAATGATGCTTGCCAAAATGCCTTTGATAACCTCAAGCTAGCTCTAACATCCGCTCCGGTACTTGCTTATCCTGACTTAGAGAAAGATTTTATCCTAACCACAGATGCATCAGGGGAAGCAATAGGTTACATACTCTCACAGATCAATGATGAAGGTAACGAACATGTAATTGCTTATGGTGGTAGGTCGTTACATCCTTATGAAAGAAAATGGTCTGTTTCTGAAAAAGAAGGATTAGCAATTCTTGATGGTATTCAAGCCTATCGTGTGTATTTGGCAAATAGAAAATTTACCATTTACACAGACCATAAAGCACTCACATGGCTAAAATCTGTAAAAGAATCTGGAACTGGAAGACTTGCTAGATGGGCACTACGTCTCCAAGAGTATGATTATGATATCAAGTACAAGACAGGTAAGTCAAATCAAAACGCTGATGCCTTGTCTCGTAGACCATATCCTCAACCTGACGTCCTCCCAGACTCGGATGAGATACCAGCACCAATAACCCAAGAGGTAAGTGTAGCTGAACTACAAGTCTCTAACCATGCGGAGGGGGACAAGGAACTTCTGTGTGTCACATTTGGGTATTCGGAAAAAGATCCACTGATATCGGCACTGGCCCCAGAAGATCACATCTCAGGCTCTGAAGGAATCAACCAGCGTCAACGAACCTGTCCAGACTTCAAAGACAAATATATATAAAATATAATTGATTAATTTAGCTTTATTGTAAATATTTGGTTTGCGATCGTATAGATATAATATTAAATTCTTTTGGGTACAAACATATGCTCTCTCAATACATTTGGTTTATTATAAGCAGTGATCACTAACTAATTATAAACATGTCACTGCACAGAAAATCTATGCCTGCACTGCGGTGCAATAAAATGTAAAAAGTCAATGGGACTATTGTGCACAGGTAACTCTTCCCTCCGGTCATAGCTGTCAATACGATGGACATAGGCAGTTAAAACAAAGATGGTTTATGTTTGACATGCGAGCTGGTCATCTTGAATGGAAACTGTGTGCGTGGCACGAGATGACAAATCACTGTGTTCCCGGGTTAAGGGGTATATATGGAGGGCAGGTGTAGGTCCTAACCATCACTTGCACTCCAGAAATAAACGGATCACGTCACAATTCTGTGCTCACGGTTTCCTTCTCTCTTCAAGGTAAGCAGCTCAGTAATTCTTATTGATGTATACATGTTGTTTTGTTATATGCAATACTGGTGTATTATTGTAATTAGTGATTTTATTATAATGTTACATAAGCGTTACTTTGACCTATGTGTACAAGGTGTATTCCCAGACTTGTATGCAATGCTTAGGTCAATTACGTTAAACTATATTGCAAACTGCAATATAGAATTTCTATGACAAATAGTATTTCATAAAAGTAATCATTGTATCGCCCTTTGCGACTTGTATGTTAAGACATGACGTTGTCTCCCTTCATTACAAGCGACGCATCTAAATGATTACCACCCTTCACGATAAATGTAATGTGTCAGATTTGTAGAGTTCATATTGTAATGTATATTGTGTAATGTGTTGTTTGATTTAATTATCAAGTCATTAATGGACAATGTTAAACTATAGGCTAGGTGCAGCGTATCACGCAAACTACCTTTTACATATGTGAACCTGGAGTTAATTGAGATATTTCGTGGATCATTGCTTTAGTAGCCTCCGGCCACACTCGTACTCTCTATCCACCAGGAGCCCCTTTTGTCTACATTGTGTATCATTAACCTGTACTCATGTATAATTGTCTTTAGGTCACATGTGTTTCATTGTATGAGTTTATTGTGAATAAGAAAACATGTGACACCATACTTACTGTAAAAAGGTTGTTAAGCCATTACCGCAATAATTCTAAAATATGGAATGTTTAATATTACTTACTGTTTATGAATATCTTCGAATTATCAAACTTCCGTTTCATTTATTTTATATATTGCACGGTATATGAATTCTTATAAATATTATGTTATTATACAATCTTGTGGATTGTTCTGTAACATCACTTGCACTCCAGAAATAAACGGATCACGTCACAATTCTGTGCTCACGGTTTCCTTCTCTCTTCAAGGTTCCCCAACAACACAATTCCCCATCTTAAAGTGAGGTCTCTACTTCTCAACAAGGAGGAGGCCTCACAAAATTATCAACTAGACGAAGTCGTGTATTAAGACCAGTAACCACACGATTTCAATACTACAAGGGCTATGGCAGAAATCAACATGTGTATCTAGATCAGTTTGCATATACATTAGATAAACAAATGCTTAGGCGGAGGAATTAGGACTGGATCATCTTTTTTCTACCCTCATAGACATACCTATGTCTCGAATACATCGATAAGTCGAATTTATTACTTGGTCCCCAGAGATTCGACTCATTTGGATTTGACTGTATGTGAATAATTGCTTAAATGCATGTGGTACTAAAATTAAGATGTATTCAGTGTTTGATGGACAGTTGTAAGGGGCGATGGGAGGTCTTATTTAAGATATTGTTTTATTTCAGACACAGTAATATATGTGTAAAGGTATCAAAATACCATAGGACATATATTGTTGTGTGTGGAAAAAGCAATATTTGTCTTGGAAAATCATGGAATTCTTTTTTCAAAAATCTGCCAGTCCTGAGTGAATGCTTGGATTGCATTGTATGAACGGTAATATTTCTCTTGTAGCCACCTAACGTGAGTATTCGTGCAATACCCGGCAATGGGTTCCAAGTTCTCTGAGTTCATTCACTTCCAGGCCCGGGATGGTAACCTGGTTAAGGTTCACTGGTAGCACAGAGGGCCAGGGTTCGATTCCAGATTTTGTACCTCGTTCCTTTTGTTTCTCTATGATATTGTTGGAATATTGCTAAAGCAGCCTTAAAACGTATTCCCTCACTCAGTTTCGTAATCACTCACTCACTCTGGATCCGTGAAGATCCGGGTTAAAATTGGGTCTTCAGCAAACCATACGTGTTGTAAGAGGCGATTAACGGGATCGGGTTGTTAGATTTGGTTGACATATGTCATCGTATGGTAGACTTGTGGCACAATTACACCGATTGACAGCCCTATGCGTTCACTATAGACGAAGTATTAGCGCTAACTAGTGATGGGAGGTGCGCCCAGCGAACTATGACTATGTACAGGATCGTCTTCATCATGGCAACGGTGAACACAGAGCACCCTTCTCTCAAATCATCATTGCTAATTCATGATATTTGCTTCTGAAATATCAACAGTTAATAATTCATAAAATGTACTATCGTTAGTTGTCTTCAGAGGATAATGATAACGCATAGAAAATGAAAGAACATTTTTATCTTTTCAGTGAAATAAACATGAACATTAATCCGTGTTATTTGCAGATATGAGAAAGGTTGCATACGGCAAGTTCACAATAGATGAGAGGCAAGGGTACTTAAAGGCGCTCACCGTCCTTGACTGTGACAAACAAACTGGAGGTGTAAATTTCTATATAATCAATGTCAAGGCCACGAATAGACACGCCCCGAACAAGTATTCTGTGCGCACACTAAAACTGTTCCTCACTGACGCAGATGACAATGCCCCGGTGTTTTCCGAGGGATTCTACAGAATCAATACTGGTTGTCCCACGAAGGACGAGGAACAGGTGCTATTAACTTTTAACGTCACTGATTATGACGTCACGTCTGTTTTGACGTTTACAATGACACCTGATAACAGCAATTATACCAGACTAGACAAAGCGAGGAGGGCGTTGGTGTTCAAACGTTTGCCGAACGGCACAACTGACCTCCAGGTGACCTTTGAGGTGATGAAGGTGACAGCCTATGACGTCAGAAATCCAAATCTTAACACGTCAGCTTACGTCATGGTCTACTACAACGACTGTTCCACAAGTTCACAACGGCGGGGGATGAGGAAGAAGGGCAGGATGAGGATTCCGAAACCGCCACCAGTTTGTGGTAGGTAGAGGGCGTGAGTGAGTGAGTGCGTGAGTGAGTGAGTGAGTGCGTATAGGGTGGGTGAGTGAGTGACGTTTTACATCGCTTTTAACAATATATCACAACGCTTTAACCACAAAGATACCCCACCGCCCCTAAAGGTAGACAGAGATTGCCAGAGCAATGAGCACTTCCGACTGTAATAAGGTTATACTACGGTAGCTCTGCTTAATATGGGACGAAAGCCCGGAATGATGCCTGTTTCCCTAACTAAGGCGTTAAACAACAAACCAACCACCACCAGTGAGTGGGTTTAGCTTTACGCCGCTCTTTGCAATATTCCAATAATCTCACGGAGAATAGAACCCAGAAATGTGCTTCACACATTGTACCCATGTGGGTAATCGAACCTGGGTCGTCGGCGTGACGAGCGAACGCTTTAACCACTAGGCTAACCCACCGCCCCTGTAGATCCATTAAGTAATGCTGATTATATGACACCGTTATACCTAATCTGCTTCCAGAGGTCAACGAGTATGTCAAGGACCAAACAGTCGAGGACTACATCTTTAAAGCCACGAGTGGAATCCTTGGCCTCATTCTCGTTTGCATTGCAGCGTTCTACCTCTCGAAGAAAACTGTTTTGTACGTTCCTTACCCTTTCCTAAGCTTACGTAACAAATCTGAAATTATATCTATTTAATTTGCAAGTTTTGTAAATGTCTAAAGGTCAAATAATGTTAAAGCTGGAGCGTAAAGAATTTTATATGGAAGTGGAATGTTTTTCAAATGTCTTCCAGTAACAATCTACTCACGTTTAGCCGTTGTATTTAAAGTTCAGAAATATTATATTTCAACTCTTCATGACGGAAATATACATTCCTGTAACACAGCTATGTTATTCAGAAATGTTATCCACATTGTCAAGAATGTTAGTACTGATTTATAAAGTTCCTCTGTCCTATTGTTTGGTGTAGATGACACGTTGAAATAGCACATGCAATTCATATTCATCTTCCAGTAAATCATCACCCTCGGTGAATCCTTTGGAGGAAGTCCAGGATGAGCCAGAAGAAGAAGTTAAAGAGAAGAAAGAGCACGATATTGATGATCAACGTAAGTATACACTCAACAATATCAAATCCAGGTTTACAAAGCCAACCCAAAATGTCCGACCAATTGAGCAGTAATATACACATGAACAATCAAGCAGGACCCTCTTTAACGCGGAAAGGTATGGTCACCATGACTGCCAATCTGATTATCACACAGTTCCCAAATAATGATGTGATTGTATGAATCACGAGTGAGTAATGTTTCGATGGCGTTGTGCTACAAATAAGGGATGGCAACTCGAGGAGGTCCAGCGTTGTCACCCATGAAAATCTGACGACTGACAAGGGGGTTGTCAGTACTTCCTGTTGATAACTTTGACAATTGGGTGTCCCACGTACCGTAATGTGATTCGACTTGCAGCCATACGAAACGCAACCTCACCATCACCGAGCCACCACCTAAGGGATCAGCTGCATGGATCATCTCCTGGTGATGTGCCCTGTTACGACGTCTCCATACAAGACAACGGCCATCGGTAACGTGACGAATATGGCGATTTCCATCAGACCAATGAACCCTACGCCATGTCTGCAAGCTGAGGTTTTCTCGAAGCCTGCACCACGCCAGGTGTTCCTGCTTGTGCATATCTGTAAGGAATGGACGTCTCATCGGTCGACATTCCCCTCAGACCAGCTGCCCACAGCCTCCTTCTGATGGTACTGGTGGAGAGTCAGACTCTCCATTGCCGGTGGAGTTCTTCGGCATGGGCATGACCCTCTGCCAGGCGGAGTAGGGTTCCGTCATCAAGGCCATTAGTCTTCCTCAGTTTTTCAGGTCTTGGAAGATGGCCACGTGCTTCCTCACAAGTCGACAAATAACAAATGTGGTTAATGTCAGCACCGTTGTTGCAACAAGACATTCCTGCTTCGTGCATGCCAAAATTTGCCATAGCGTATTTTCTGAAAGTCTTCGTCCTGAAAAGTTCATTTTTTGTACAGTCGTTTTTTAAATCAGAAAACTGTACTGCAAATACTGCAACTACGAAATATATATCCATTGTACTTGGCGCCGTCGCAGCACATGAACACTCGACCCCTATATTGTATGATATTCTGTAAAGCACGTGCTTTACATGTGCATTCAAGTATGCTAGGGTATAATCGCCTGTTTGGACTATTTGCTTGGACTAACATTGCCCTAAATGTCTTGGATTCAGTCTGATCTTGATTAACGCACATGTGTTGGAGTTAATTGCTTGAAATCATTTGCCTGTCGAGATAAGTCTGATGGTATTTCTAAGAATTAAGCTCTTCACGATTTTCCCAGTCATACCCTTTATCTTATCACTAACCCGTAAAAAGATCCCACCCACATCATTGACTGGGTATTTAGTTAAAGCTACGTTTCTCTACATCACGTTGTATCAGCTTACTATTGATAAGATGATGAAACGGATCAGCTAATACGGCATTGCGATTCTTGACACGACCAGAAGATCTGGTCTCCATGGACGAAAGCGATTCGTCACAGCGTGCACGTGGGATCCGCGAGTCATCCACATCTGGACAAGAGTACTCATTTCGCCCACTCTGAAATGTTTTTGTAACAAAATGGTGATGTCTATATATTGATAAAAAATTCCTTTGAAACGCCCGACAGGAAACGAAAGAGAGTTGTTTTCGCCGCATCGAGCATTGTTTGTGTATTTGTTAACGTACTCAGCAATATTCCAGCTATATGGCGGCAGTTTGTCAATAATCGAGTCTGGATCAGACAATCCAGTGATCAACATAATGATCATCGATCTTCGCAATTGAGATACGATGACTTGTAAGTCAGCGAGGCAGACCACTTGATCCCGTTAGTGACCTTTGCTGAAGACCAATTCTAACCGGATGTATTGCGCTGTAATCGACGGGTGAACAACGACGAGAACTCTACATGTGGTAGTAGAAATATAGGGAATTGATACGTGACATTATTGAAAGGCATTTAGAAGTTGACGAACATCAGTACATGTCACGTTTTATGGATAACAACTTTGAAAAAATAATTATCCGACGTTTCAGAGGTAATTCTTGCTCCTCACAGGTGGATGGTGGGTGAGTAAATAGATGGATGGATGGATGGATGGATGGATGGATGGATGGATGGATGGACGGACGGTTGGATGATAGATAGGTGGATAGATGGATGGATGGATGGATGGATGGATGGACGGACGGACGGACGGATTGGATGATAGATAGGTGGATAGATGGATGGATGGACGGACGTACGTAAGGAAGGACGGTTGGATGGATGATAGATAGATAGATAAAACATTGCCACACTTGAACTACAAAGTTAAATATCATTGCAAGATGCGAGAAGGGAGATGCTCGTAGCGTGGCATCATTGTAAAGCTACGTGATAATATATACGAGCCATTGTAGAAAGGGCATACTTTGAACACGACCAACATTACCATACTTTCCTGAGTTATGATGCCATTGCTCTGTGACATGTTTTCCTGGTTCAGGTGTAACCTACAATATATTCCATGATCTTCAATTAGCAACATATCTTGTTGGAATGTCGAACAATCAGATCACAGAACCACTTACTTCTAACCATCTGATCAATGACACGAGCTTTGCCATTTTTTATCTATATCTTTGGAATATTACGTTTCATCCTATCACACGAGAAAGACAGTACAGTTCATAATGAGAGAAGATTTCCCCAGGTTTCAAAAACCCGCGCCTGGAGTCAGTTGCCTCACGTCGTGACATTTGCAGCTGTAGTATCAATGACCGGATTGACTTATCAATTTCAGAGTTTTTTCAATCTTACAATTTGATGTTTCAGTAGGTATTATTTGCAAGCTTGCAAGCAGCTGATCGTTATTTTTTCTTGACGATGTTCGTGCTGAAACCAAACTGAAAGCCATTAAAACTGCAATTGGTATTTGTTGTGCTGGAACTTACAAAAGTTCTATTGACGATTGTCTCTCCTGGGCTACAGAGGATGTAAGGATAAAAGCTGTTATTCTGGCCCATTTCGAGTTCGAGTCCCCGAACAATCCTCTCACATGAACTTCCATGCTTAAAACTGAACTTCCATGCTTAAAACTGAACTGAATCATTTTGAAAAAATGCCATGCTTGATACAAGACGAAAGGAATCAGGTTATGGTCAGTCAAGGTGCTTCAGATGTGATGATTGCCAGGCGATTTAATGTGCATCCATCCCCTGTTGGTCAACTCGGAAAATGTTTTCGGGCAACCGGAAGTGTTGCTGAGCGTCCGCGGCCTGGTGCACCAGCTGTGATGACAACTCAACAGGACGGCAATATCCGAGTTTCACACTTGCGAAATCGGTTCCAAAGAGCTGCTAATACGGCAAGGATAACAATTGGGACAAGACAACGTCATATCAGCGCCAAAACCGTGCAAAGACGCCTTGCTGACTTCAACATCCGGTGTCGTCGTCCGTACATTGGCCCAACATTATTGCATCGCCAAAGACTTGCCAGGCAGCGATGGGTAGTTAATGGGGCCAATCTTGGCAACAAGAAATGCCGAGATGTCAATTTTTCAGTTTAATCCAGGTTTAACGTATCCTTTGCAGATAAATGTCAACGGATTTATCGACGTCGAGACAGAATTGCGCCATACTGTGTCCTTGAACATGATCGTTTTGGAGGAGGTGGTGTCATGATCTGGTGTGCTATCAATGTCAACTTCCCATCCCAGATGGTAGTGGCTAACGGCTATCTGAATACTCAACGTTATATGGATAATACCCTTCGTCCGGCTGTACTCACAATGATGGATCAACCTGGCGGTCGTCACCATTTTGTGTTTCAGCATGATAATGCACGTCCCCATGCAGCCAGGACAACAAGGGGCTTTTTGAATAATGAGAATGTTCATGTGATGGACTGCCCTTCATTGTCCCCAGACATGAACCCAATCGAGCATCTGTGGGATGAACATGGATGGCGAGTTCGAAATCACCACGGAGAGTTGCTGAATTAACACAGGCCCTTCAACATCACTGGCAGACCACCCCACAGCTGTTCCTGAGAAATTTGTGTCTTTCAATGCCCCGGAGCTTGTCTTGCAGCACACGGTGGACACACACGATATTGACTGCAAATGACCCCTCCTTTGTTTGATGTCGTTGCGTCACTGATGTTGTTGTTGATTGGATATTTTCAGATGAAATTATCAGCAGATGTTCGCTTAAAATATATCTGCCAGTTGCATTTATATATGTTGACATTTGTGTGAGTAAAGAAAGTATGAATCTCAAATTGCGTTTTTAATGGTTTTTAGTATATATTCTAGTGGTAACAGACCCGGTGTCCAATCTTTAATAGCTAGTAAAATGTTTTAGCATTAATAGTTCTGTCCCTGTTTAACAGAGCAAACAGAGGTCCCACGGATAAGATACAGTATTCATCAATAAAATATCTTATTCAACAATCAGATCTGAAAGTTTGGTCTGGATTCAGTAGATAATTAAGTATGACGTTAAACTCATCTTCAAACCAATTATCGCCTAGGTTGGTCAGGTTTTGCATCCGACTCACGATGACAAACATTTGACAAATAAATAGAAAATAACATTAATGACTCCAAAAGATTTTGGTACAAATTGAAATATTTAAATAGAAAGAGAGTTCCAAAAAGCAATATCCAAACACAAGAGTGGTTTCACCACTTTAACAAATTGTTTTACTGGTGCAAATGTAGATATTGAGAGAAATACTGAAAGCGATGACCATGATTTTTTGTTAAATGATGACCCAAACAGTGACCTTGCAAAAGAAATTCTTGACTCTCCAATATCCAGAGAAGAGATCTTAGATAGCATAAACAACTTTAAACTCAACAAATCCCCCGGAATAGATGATTTAATTCCAGAATTTTTGTTTTCCTTCTTCAGAAATGAACTAGCAGTACAGATTGAAAATAATTGCTGACATGGTATACAGTTGCATCCCGATATGTTTCATCTTTTCCTTTTATTATTTGCAGATGATATTGTTCTCATCTCAAGTACTATCATTGGCCTACAGAAGCAAATAACGAACTATAAAACTACTGTAAGAAATCATGCCTAAATGTAAATATGGATAAAACGAAAGCAGTTGTTTTTAAACAAGGGGGGGAATTATCAAGAAGGGAAAAATGGTTTTATAAAAGCAGTACTATAGAGACTACCACTTCATATAAGTACCTTGGTGTACATTTCACTAATCATCTTTCATGGCTGGTACATGCAAAATATGCATCTATTTAAGCACGAAAGGTATTGATAGGTATATTGAGAAATATAAAAATACTTGGGGATTTAAATTTAACATCCTTTTTTAGAATATTTGATGTTAAAATCAAACCAATTCTACTGTATGGTGCGGAAATATGGGGATTTAAATACTTTGATTCCATAGAAAAGGTACATTTATTTGCTTGCAAGAAGTTTCTCGGGGTAAAGATGATTACATCAAATGTTACGGTATATGGGGAATGTGGCAGATACCCGTTCATCATATCGATTAAATATTGGATAAGGTTATTAAGTATGCCATCCTACCGTTTACCGAAAAAATGCTACAATATGATGTTACTATATGACAAAGAAGGTAAAAAGAATTGGACAACACATGTTAAACACCTACTATTTTCTACAGGATTTAATCATTTATGGTATGAACAAATTACCTTGCTGGAAAGCCATTACCTTGAATTTAAGCTTAATGTAAATGCAAATAAAACAAAGGTTGTTGTCTTTAAGAAAGACGTTAAATTGTCCAAATCAGAAAAATGGCTTTATAACGGAGACTACTTAGAAGTTGTTAAAGGATATAAATATCTAGGGGTCCATTTTGCCAATACGTTATCATGGTATCATCATGGTAATAGTGCTGCTTTACAGGGACGGAAGGTTTTATGGGCATTTACAGTAATTTAAAGAAATTGGGCAATGTAAATTTCAAAACATATTTCAAAATATTTGATACAAAAAATTAAACCAATTTTGCTATATGGGGCAGAGGTTTGGGGTTTTCTCGGTTGGAAGCATTGGCAAAGGTTCACTTGTACGCGTGTAAAAAGTCTTAGGAGTTAAATTAAATACCCCAAATGTGATGATCTATGGTGAATGCGGTCGCTTCCCACTTTATCTAGAAGCACAGATAAAAGTTATCAAATACTGGGTAAAGCTCTTGAATATGCCTGCATCAAGATTTCCTAAGAAATGTTATAACATGATGTATTTGTTTGACACCAACGGAAAATCAAATTGGGTAACGAATGTTAGAAATTTACTAAATCATTGTGGTTTTAGTGATGTATTTTTGTCACAAAAGATTACCTGCCCAAAGTCATTTTATAATGCTTTATCGCAAAGATTAAAAGATATGTACATTCAGACCTGGAACTCATCTTTAATACAGTCGCCCAAATCCACTTTTTACAGTACTTTTAAATCTTTTTTCCATACAGAGCAATACCTACACGATATCAATCTTAGAAAATTCCACGTTTCATTATCCAGATTTAGATGCTCTTCACTTGACCTTATGATCGAGAAGGGCAGATATTATAATATTCCAAGAGATAACAGATTGTGCAAATTTTGTGCACTAAATTTTATTGAAGATGAATTCCACTTTTTGCTGGTATGTCCTTACTATGCTGATTTAAGGACAAAATATCTACCACAATATTACTATTCACATCCTATCATGTTTAAATTTAATTTGATAATGAACTCTAATAATACAACTTATATTCGTAAACTTGGTATGTATATCCACCATGCTTTTGAACAAAGAAAATAACGTTTGCAAACATTCTGATTGTATGCCATTATTGTTTTTATATTTTGTACTATAGGCCTGTGGCCTCTTCAGTAATGGAATAAAGAGATTTGAACAAAACGTTGAATGTTCGTCATTAATTCTAAAAGCATTCACGCAAAGATTAAACGATATTTACCAGCAGAAATGGTTGGAAACAATTTCATTAGCTTCAAAATGGAACTATTATTCAATCTTTAAACTACACATTTATACTGAACGTTATTTATTATGTGTTAATGTTAAGAAATATAGAATAGCTTTAGCTCGTTTCCATTGTTTGTCTCATGATTTATTAATTGAAAGAGGTAGGTTTATGAATATCAAAAGAGAGGATAAAATATGTAGATGCTGTAATAATAATCTTATAGAAGACGAATATCATTTTCTTCTACAATGCCCAGCATATAATACTATACGTAAAAAATATATTAAAGAACTCTATTTTGTCCATCCATCAATTGATAATTCTTCGTCCCTATGAATTTTTCAAATGAAAGTGTAATTAAAAATGTTGCAGTTTTCATTTATCAAGCCATGTCGATAAGAAATTTGTATATATGAAATGTACAATAGGCCTGTGGCCTCCTCAGTACTGAAATAAGATTGATAAAGATTGATTGAAATAAATCACCAGCCACCCATACACAGCGAATGGATTTTCTGGGAACACCTTTCGAAACGACTCCACGTAGCGTGTCAGGCCATGATGGCTTCGTAGAAGTCGAGATGCACCTTCGACCTACTTGCTTTTGACATAACAACTTTGCTAATGAGAGACTCCAAGGCAGGTCGTGGTTCGGTACTGGAGCAGGATCACCATGCCGGACAGAACGTCATCACTGATTGACCAGTGCAGTCACCACACACTGCTACAGTGTCACCTGGTGCCGGGCATGCTGTCCTGTTGGACCAAGCTCGGAGATGGTTCTTACTCCAAGGCGAAGACGATGCACGTGATCACTTTAAACAGACTGTATGTTGCTATAAACACCCAATATATATAAATGGACAACTACGTAACATGTATTTTGAGAAGGTATTGATCTTGACCTCAATTCTCCCCATAGGTCATGAACTCGTGATAGCATGAATTGTCTGTCTGTGTGTGTGTTTGTGTGTCTGTTTTCTCTCTGTCTCCCTGAGACGACTTGACGCGACAGGAAGTCCAAAGCAGCGTTCAACCAATCCGTTTCACTCACTCAGTGTAAACAGCATTCCGATCGTCTCACAGATTTGGTCAATTTAGGCCTATCTATATTCATATTATTATATCACATACAAGTATTTTGTCACCGTGTATCATGTATCTATTTATGTTCACAGCAAATGTCATATTTGTGGGCCCGAAGCCTGATGAAAAGCCACGTTCAAAGCAAGCTCCAGGTAAGCTCCATTGTTTACAGACCGCCGCCATATAGTTAGAATATTGCTGAGAGCGGCTTTAAAGAGGTGAGGTGAGGTGAGGTTTTACGTCGTGCTTGAGAATATTTCGCTCATATGACGACGTGCATGCGTGTGTATGTGTATGTGCGGCTGCTTGTACTAGCCCAGACTGAAGCTGGTTTTATAGTGCTAGCCCACTGAGATACCATGGCGCAGTGAAGCATGAATACCCCACTCAGACACATTATACTGACTCCGAGCCGACCAGTCCTTGTTTACCCATTAATGCCGAGCGCCAGGCAGGGACCAACAAATACCATATTTTAACGTCTTTGGAATGACGCGGTCGGGGCTCGAACTCGCGACCTTCCGCTCTCCGGGCGGACGCTCTAACCACTACACCACGGAGACGGTCGCGGCTTTAAAGAACAAACCAGCCAACCAATCAGCATATCAGTTAACATGGTAATATGAACGCTTATATCAGTGACTGAAGGCAAAGGAGTACAGTTAATATATTATTGATATACAGCTTGCATATTAAATGACTTATTGGTTGTAATGGCACCAGTTTCATATCATACTGATAAATATGTATGTGACTTTTTAAAAATTTATGATCAATAACTATTGCATCAGCTTGCAAAATATGAAATATGAGATATCTTTTTGTAACCCGATATTCTAAAACATTTTAAAAAGATAATATGAAACATTAGTATTTTTAAATTATTAGCAGATTAGCTAACGGAACCGTTTTGTTATTCATGTGATGTATCCGTATCAAATTCAGCCATTGGTGTGTGGAAAATAATGTGATACAACCACATATGAACTTACTGTATATTTTTTAGAGCAATAGAAGTTGAAAATGGCAAACATCGTCTGTAATATCAGTAAACTTTTTCAAATGTATGTGAAAATAACCAACACCGTTTGATCATGGTTGGGAAGCTCCTTAAGTAATGAGTGAGTGAGTGAGTATGGTTTTACGCCGCTTTTAGTAATATTCAAGCAATACCACGGCGGGGGACACCAGAAATGGGCTTCAAACATTGTACCCATGGAAGGAATCGAACCCGGGTCCTCAGCGTGATGAGGGATCGCATTATCCATTAGGCTACCCCACCGCCCTACTTTAGCAACAGAAATCAGTTTACTGCAATCAATGACTGCAATTTAATAACTGAAATTTTACTCACTGGATTAACTAGTCGTGGCGACCTAAAATGAGTTCGAAAAATTGGTATTTTAAATGGATTTTCGACTGAGATAATATGACCCTAGATCCATGTTGTTTTTGAGATTAGTGGTGTCAGTGTGAATGAGGAGCAAATTCTTTTATAAACTAATTTAATTAAATGTGTAACATTTAATTAACTAATAACGATTTCAAAATAGTACGAAAACATGTGTCTCAACGTAATGTTGTGCGTAATGCTTGCAATGAAGAATATCTTTCTTGGAAACCACTAGGATGCAAGCAAGTTCGGCAAATGTAGCGATACTGAGTTCGGTGACATAAACTATACTATCTTAAAATATCTTTATCCTGAGCATATACAGTAATGTCCCTGGAGTTATGGTATTGTACCCGGTACACAGTGTTCGAATGACTAAACGTTTTCTCCACTGCTACAGCGTGTTCAGCTTGACCTGATCAAGTGAATACTAATGTATTGCGTGACCGTGTTACACCTGGTTGGGTCTATTATTGTGAAGGGGTGCACCTTTGTCAGTTGATTGTCAACATGCCCAAACAGCCGAGACAAGGTCGCCGCTTGACATCTCAGTGTCGAGAAATCGTCTGCAATGTCCTAACTTTCTTTAAAAAAGAAGCTACAGATGTTTTAATGTTTCCGATTCGGGATTTTAGGCATTATTAACATTCTCTGCTCCCCATTTTATGAAGTTAACTAGACCTGCCGTTTGTGCCATTTGACCTCCCGGGTCATGCATATGTAGAGTAGCTCAGGTCAAGCTGAACACCCTGTAGTGTTACGTAAAGTACTCAAGGTGTGGCAATTTGTGCAGTTAATGTTTGTCAAAGAAAGGTTCCTCTGTGTGCATTCTTCCATTTTATCATGTTTCTCTGGACCTAAAGCGACCATGTTGCCTCTTACTCCTTGAAGGAGAATACGAACGAAAACAAAACTTTTGATATATTGTAAAGGATATTCAAAAAGTCACATTCCGTGATTAAAATTGAACAAAAAGTTTGTAAAATATTTCCGCCTATTACGGAAACACCCGACAGTTAATGGGCAGAGGGGGTATCACGTGACATGACGGCATTTGTGCCTGCTGCTGATGGCTTCCTCTTTGATTTTACCTCACAACTTAACAGTGTCCGTGGATTCTGAAGCAGTAAAAGATTAAAACATATTTATACATAATTTTTAATTGAAAATTTGGGAATATGTTTCTGATGACTTAATCTTTCACCTAGCAAATTAGTGCAATTCACTCGTACTCTCCGTTAAGGCTCTATATGGCTCTTTAATAGCTCCCATGTTATTTATTACTGCGGAAAACAAATAAGGGAACACCACTTCATTGCAGTGTTCCTCTATTTATTCTCAGATTTCCTCCCACAGCGCTATTCAAAGCTGGTGATGAAAAGTGGAAAATATTTAAGAAACGCTTGAATTTTCCCATGTTCCCTTATTTGTTTTTCTCAGTATATTTCTAATGTGACGGGAGGTAGTGTTCACGCAGTTCTCTTGTTGTGATTATATCCATCCATCTACCCTTTATACAGACAAATAATTTATTTAAGTTTCACCTCACAAGTACATAATAACAATGCAATATACAAATACAATTAAACGTGAGCCACCCATTAAAGGTTATGAGAGACTTTTAACTAAAATATATACAATATGCTAAAAACTATTAACTAAATACAAGATATATGAAGAATATTACTAAACACCTAAGAAGATTAAAATATACTATTAAAATATCATTAAATATGCATATGCATACACAAGATAAAAAGTACCATTACCTATTACCATATAGAACTTGTTTCCGCTTCTGCAATAAAAGCTTGCAGGATTTGGCAGAACAAAATACAATATCCGGATTGGCTAAGATGAAACTAACCTTCTGTATATCTATAGAATCATTATAAGTATAACAATAATCCGAACACTCGCTTAACAGAGTAACACGGATATCATTATAAAGGGGACAGTGTTGTAAGACATGGGCTTCATCCTCAACTTCATCCTTTCACTAAATACACATTCTCTCCTTAATATGTGTATTAGTGTATCGTCCAGTCTCTGTATGTATTGGGGCTATTCCGCCTCTGAACTTGGCTAAGGGACTTCTGTTGCTGTTGAACATTTACCTAGATCAACTTCGGTCCCTATACGAATATGTTAGAAGCGTCAGCCATTGCATATGATATGCAGAAACTGAATATACATTATAATTAATCGTTCAACATGATAAGGACTTGTCTTTGTCGCATTGAATTATACAAGTCATTTTCTCCTTCTGCTGTTTTGAACTTGGATATGTTGTGTAATCAATATCTTTGCACGAACTCTTGCACGGACTGTAGAACATCACAATATGCTGCTTAATGTTGTGTATATAGGTTATATGAAAGGCTGGTGGTATATTTAAATCAAATTATTCACTGTGAATTTAGACAAAGCTATTGTGGTTTAGACAACATAATTGTAATGGATGTAGTCATGATGAACCTACTTGGTGGTGGTGGTGGTGGAATTGGGTTTAACGTCGTGCTTGAGAATATTTCGCTCATATGACGACGTGCATGCTTGTGTATGTATAGTTGCGGCTTAATAAATACATACAGCCCAGACGTAAGCTGGTTTTATAGTGCTAGCCCACTGAGATACCATGCCGCAGTGAAGCATGAATACCCCACTCAGACACATTATACTGACTCCGAGCCGACCAGTCCTTGATGTACCCATTAATGCCGAGCGACAGGCAGGGACCAACAAGTATCATATTTTAACATCTTTTGGTATGATGCAGTCGGGGATCGAACCCGCGACCTTCCTCACTCTGGGCGGACGCTCTAACCACTACACCACGGAGGCGGTTTGATCCTACTTGGAGTTGTGGCCATCATATTACAGTCAAATTACAGTCTTCATTACCTGAACTAATGTTTGAGGCGTTTGATATAAGATCAGTATGTCAGTTTTATTTCGAGGGCATTAATAATTATCAAAGCCGTCATTTCTGGAAATAGTTCAGAGTTCAAAGTGTTTGAAAGGTGTACCTAACCATATTCTCAGTCATTATTATTTTGTTGAGTTTTGTACTTGGGCCTATGGCCTTTATACTGAATAAACATTGAATTTGAATTTGTCTGGAAATACTAGTCCACAAGATGAATTTGATATCCCAAAAGACATTATTGAATTTGTACATAACTATACTTCCCTTAACATTCCTGGCAGGTTTATATATTTTGTTACAATCATTGTAATGCATTATGTTGCAACCCTCCTTATCTATTTATGTTATAAATGTTCCTTATCTCCTGGATGGCTGTATTGATGTATTTAGCTGGCTTGATGTGTCTTGAAACAGGGTGTTAGGCCTGTTGTTGATCAATCCCATTATAAAAAAAATATATACTAACGAAAAACAATGGATGAAACTTCAATATATTCATCGTAAGTCCCCCAGTTTTATACTAACGGAAAAAAAGTAACTGTGCATGACATAAGATTGCATAAGTTATTAAAAAATTATAATGGGAAGGCAAGGGTGTACATACGGTAAGGTGAACCGTATGCAGATGCGTGCGTTGTTCAACGTCGACAGTTTGGTGGCTGGTGCGTTATGGTATGGGAAGACATCACATCTCATGGTGGAACACAACTTGTTATTGTCAATGGCAATCTGACAGGTCTGCGGTACAGGGTTGAGATCACTGGGCCTCATGTGCAGCCGTTCATTCAAGGACAGAAACGAAACTTCACGCTTCACAACATTCCCCAAGCTTTCTCAAATCGCTTAGTGTCGTCTATGCGTCGTTGTCAAGCCTGCGTCAACGCCAATGGTAAACACACGCGATACTGAATTTGTGAACTGACTTTTGACAGAACAGAACAGAACAGAATGTTATTCTCAAAAATCACAAAAATGATATAGGGTACATACAGGTATATATACATATAAATATAATATTCACATGATATCATTTGAAGAGGCACAAACAGTGTTTTATATATTTGGATAATTTGAGGATGAGTGGTTGATAGTCACATTTCATGAGAAAAATAAATTTACAGATTGAGGGATTCACACAGAAATATTTTGGTAAAAAGGTGTTTCGTTGTTCAACAAGCGATGGACATATGAGTAAACAATGGAATTCGTCACATGTAGCTTGATTACAAACATTACAAAGTCGGTTTTCTCTCAAAATATTTAGCCAGCGCCCTGTTTCTATTGGTAACCTATGATTTGTTGACACCTTCAAGGGCGTGTCACGATGCCTAGTGTCAAATCATACATATTTCGATATTATCTAGTCAACAGTTAAACAGTGATTAAGGAAAACACCACAAATCATGTTATTATCTTTTGCAATTAAAATTACATAACATCAAATAATACACAGCTATTTGATTCCATTTGTATATATTATAGTGAGTGAGTATGGATTAACGCCGGTAGCCATATTCCAGCAATATCACGGAGGGGCACACCAGAAATGAGCTTCACACATTGTACCCATGTGGGGAATCGAACCCGAGTCTTCAGCGTGACGAACGGACGCTTACTATTAGGCTACTCGACCGCCCCAATATATATTGTACATTAAACCAAATTGAAGAAATGGACCATATAGATGGGTTTTATAAGATATTTACGTCGTAAAGATATGTCATACTGTTACACATTAAGTATAGTAATATGAAGAATCAAGTGTTTTCAAGTTAAGTGTGTGGTATATATCTCCATTTCAATCGTCCATATATGGTGGATTTGGAAATACGCAACGTTTGAAACAGTTTGTGTTTGTTATTGTTTGAATGTAACGTTATTATATTTTCTCTGAAAAATCTGTCGTAATTTCTAATCGAGTTCTTAATATTTGAAGACAAAAACAAACATGTTGAAACATGACGATTATCATATAACCTAAATACAATATATATACACAGTTTCTTCTTTGCGCTTGAATGTTTTCCTGACATTTTGGATTGCACTGAATCGCACAGTAATGACCGGTTATAGCTGATGCCGAGAAAATGTCGTGTCCTTTACACCTTCCAAGACAAGAAATACTAAGGATAAAGGGTTATTATTGATAGATAACATTTCGTGGCTTCGGCCATTGAGTGGTAGGGTCGAAAAGGATCATACACACACGCACGCACGCTCGTGTACACACGCATCCACACGCACGCACGAACACAAGCACACATGCACGCAAACACATACAGGGGCATAAGCACCCGCACACACATGCACGAACACGCACGCTCACACACATGTATACATACATACATACATACATACATACATACATACATACATACATACATACATACATACATACATACATCCATACATACATCCATCCATCCATCCATACATCCATACATCCATACATCCATACATCCATCCATCCATACATCCATACATGTATACATACATACATACATACATACATCCATACATCCATACATACATCCATCCATACATACATACATGTATACATACATACATACATACATACATACATACATACATACATACATACATACATACATACATACATACATACATACATCCATCCATACACGTATACATACATACATACATACATACATACATACATACATACATACATACATACATACATACATGTATACATACATACATACATACATACATACATACATACATACATACATACATACATACATACATACATACATACATACATACATACATACATACATACATACATACATACATACATACATACATACACACATACATACATACATACATACATACACACACATACATACATACATACATACATACATACATACATACATACATACATACATACATACATAGCTTATCACGCGAGTGTGTTTTGGCATGGTTAATATCCTGCATTAGGAATAAACATTGTATTTAGCGAGCCTTGGGGAGCTCGGTGACACAATTTTCTCTCAATTGACTTTTCTCAAAAAGTTGTATAGAACGTATAGGTAGTTTGACAAGGTACGATTGAGTTATGAACTAGTGAATGTCAAGCAGTAGTATGAGATTAGACGCTGACAATATAGTATATAGATGTGCTTGGTGTGTTGCAGATATATCCTACATGAATGAGTGAAGTGCCGCGGCTGATGCTAGAGACGCCGGACGTTGTAGAAGCAGAATATGTTTGAAGTTCAGGTGGTGTTCAATGAACTCAAGAGTGTGAGATGTGTCGGGTGGGGCATTAACTGTGAACCCCACTGTCGGATCTCTGGGAGTGCAGTGGTGTGGACCTCCTTTTGCAGACACCTTTGTCAACTGCACCCTCTCACCCTGCCAAGTCTCTCCCCGATATGGTAATTGTGTCCATCCATCGTTTTTCAAAAGCCGGATCCGCATCTGCAAGAGCAGGATCCGAGACATCTGTTAGGGACGCAAGCACGGGAGACTAACAGAGTTGTTTCCCTTGGATATTCCCAAGTATTCTGAATTTCTCTGCTGTGAATACAGGATTGCAGCTGTCGGCTACTACTACAGCTACTACTGATTCTACTGTTACTGCTGCATCTACTTCTACAAGTACATGAGCAGCTGTCTTAAAACATTTCTGGTTATAGCACAACAAATGAGCATTGAAATATGTATATTTTCTTACGCAGGTGTTTCTTTCAGGCTAAATTAATGTCGTGTCCGCTTAACGCAGGGAGTGAGTTTATATCAATATTTTGTGTTAACGAACAGATGTGGATATTTAAATGCAATCGCATACTAATACAAACCAATGTTCAATAATATCAATGAGAACAGACACGTGTATTGATATATTGGTTGGTTGGTTTGTTGTTTAACGCCGCACTCAGCAATATTCCAGCTATATGGCGGTGGTCTGTAAATAATCGAGTCTCGACCAGACAATATAGTGATCGACAGCATGAGCATCGATCTATTTAGTTGGGATAGGATGACATGTGTCAACCAAGCCAGCGAGCCTGACCACCCGATCCCGTTAGTCGCCTCTTACGACAAGCACGGGTTACTGAAGACCAGATCTAACCCGGATCTTCACGGGTGTATTGATATGTAAATCCACGTGCGAGGATATATGAACATACGAGAACAAACTTGAACACGCGTGCATTGATATGTATGAACGCACGCACACTGGTATATTACATACGACTAATGGCATACGAACACACGTGTACACACATATGACATACGGCTAATGACATAGGAACACACGTGTACTCATATATGAACTTGTGTACAGACATCTGTGTATTCACCGTACAAGTATTCATTGTTATCACAGCATAGTTGAAGTTGGTATTCGTTTGGCTATATTCGTTGTTTTTAAATAAAGAATACTGTTTTTATAATGTTATATCATATTAGTTATGTTGTTTAAAGAACGTCCAGATGATGATCAAATTTCACGATCATGATATTTTATTAAAGTGAAACCATAGCTATTTGTTTATTTATGTCGTTCATTGTCGTATTGCCCTGTCGAGCTGCTTTAAGGAGAAATACGAATGTACAGACTTCACATTTGCTGCAGACGGTTGGTCGATAAACAGCAGTCTTATTTCGCTACATTTGTTGATGTCACTGCGAGAGACGTCATAGGACAATGATGTAAGTACAGAAAATATATACCAAACAGAAAGACTGAAAACAAATTAGAAAATAAAATAAACTGATTGTTTATCTATATGGTGAAACATACCCAGTGCCATATATATCATATGTGCACATATCACTTTTGCCTAGCAACCATTGTTTCTGTGACGTCATTAAACAATTTAACGTGACGTCAATGAACAGGAAAGTCACACTTGCTTACCATGTTTTACTGCACAAATGTACATGAATAAAATGGATGATAAAGAAATTATTACAATCGCAAGTGTGCCCACACGACTTATACGAAACTCGTGTAAAATTGTGTATTACCCTCGCTCTCGCTCGTACAATACAAAATTTCACACTCGTTTCGTATAAGTCGTATGACACACTTGCTCGTGTAATAATTTCTATATAGATACTGATTGTGATACGAGATTACTTGGAGCATGGGTCACTTGTAACAGCTGAATCTCTGAGCATCTTCTATGGACATCTTCCCTTAACTCTGAATCTATGGACATCTTCCCTCAGCCCTGAATCTAGAGACGTCTTCCCTAACACTGAATCCATTGACATCTTCCCTTAACTCTGAATCTATGGTCATCTTCCCTAACACTGAATCTATGGACATATTCCCTTAATACTGAATCTATAGACGTCTTCCCTAACACTGAATCCATGGACATCTTCCCTTAACTCTGAATCTATGGTCATCTTCCCTAACACTGAATCTATGGACATCTTCCCTTAACACTGAATCTATAGACGTCTTCCCTAACACTGAATCCATGGACATCTTCCTTAACACTGAATCTATGGACATCTTCCCTTAACACTGAATCTATGGACATCTTCCTTAACACTGAATCCATGGACATCTTCCCTTAACACTGAATCTATAGACGTCTTCCCTAACACTGAATCCATGGACATCTTCCCTTAACACTGAATCTATGGACATCTTCCCTAACACTGAATCTATGGACATCTTCCCTTATCACTCAATCTATGGCCATCTTCCCTTAAAATTGAATCTCTGAGCATCTTCCCTTAACACTCAATCTATGGACATCTTCCCTTATCACTCAATATATGGCCATCTTGCTTTAACATTGAATCTCTGAGCATCTTCCCTTAACACTCAATCTGTGGACATCTTCCCTTAACATTGAATCTCTGAGCATCTACCCTTAACACTCAATCTGTGGACATCTTGCCTTAACATTGAATCTCTTAGCATCTTCCCTCAACACTCAATCTGTGGACATCTTCCTAACACTGAATCTATGGCCATCTTGCTTTAACATTGAATCTCTGAGCATCTTCCCTCAACACTCAGTCTGTGGACATCTTGCCTTAACATTGAATCTCTGAGCATCTTCCCTCAACACTCTATCTGTGGACATCTTTCCTAACACTGAATCTGTGGACATATTCCCTAACACTGAATCTGTGGACATCATTCCTAACACTGAATCTATGGACATCTTGCCTTAACATTGGATCTCTAAGCATCTTCCCTTAACATTGGATCTCTAAGCATCTTCCCTTAACATTGAATCTCTAAGCATCTTCCCTTAACATTGAATCTGTGGACATATTCCCTAACACTGAATCTGTGAGGATCTTCCCTTAACATTGAATCTCTAAGCATCTTCCCTTAACATTGAATCTGTGGACATATTCCCTAACACTGAATCTGTGAGCATCTTCCCTTAACACTGAATCTTTTTATGTGTTTCCTCAACCCTGTATCTAAGAATGCTGATGATCAGTAATTGTGAAAACACCGTCGTGAAATTCACCTGTGAAATATGAACCTAGTGTGCCTATTCCTCCGAAACCAATAACAAGTGTGATCTTTCACTTTGTACAATCTGTAACTGTGCATATGTGGACGTAAATAACTGGTGACATTCAGTGTGAAGAGATGCTCATTGAAGCACAGTTACAAGTCGCTGATGCCCAAAGGAATTTAGTACACATCGATATACAAATGTAATAAAAATGTCTATAAACAGCAACTATATGTAATTTTCCATTTTTCTTTTTCTTGTCTTTAACTGAATAGTTCGAGATGACTGACCTGTGTATCTGAATTTGTGGACATGTTTGATATGCAACTGTGAATGTTTGAATATGTTTGAACTGGAGCTGCGGACCTGCATGGAGATGACTGATCGGTAACTGTAGACATTTGGACATGTGTAACATGTAACTGTAAACATGTAGATGTTACATGTATTAGGTTGTAATTATGAATTTGTGAATGTGGATAATTGGATATGTTTGACCTTGACAGTGTTAAACATTTGGACATGGTTAGCTGTGTTCTGGCATAATTTCTTCCACGGCAGTGTATGGACATTGCTGTTGCATTCCATTTGAAATTCCCGGACAACTCAGGTCAACCATTGTTGACATGTGAACTGATTTTATGCCTTACTTTAGTTGGTCTCAAATGCCCACACGTTGGGCGTGCTACTCTGGTTAGAAGCCACTGGGCAACGTCATTGTTAGAAGATATTCGTTCCATTTTTTATGAACTCTATCATGAATAAAAACACTTTAATGAATGTGATTAAGTTGGAATTGATAGTATGTATGTGTTGTGATATGGATCAGGAAGTGTAACTGTGACTGTTGGTGTAAATATAATGCAATTTAAAGAAGATGGCTATCAGACAATGGCAGTCTTGTCAAACACTTCTGTAATTGTGTGTGCTTGCACCGGCTGTCACTTTTCTTCATCGCTGGAACCATCGCTGTGTGCGTTTAAATTACGGGAGGAGTGATAAAATGACACCGTTCTATTTAAATAATAAATTCAATAAATTTGATTATTTATTAGAAAGTAGTCAATATTAGCGGGGTGGAGGCGTGCCTTAAACAGGGCGAGCCGCAGTATATAATATAGTCCGAACTTCTAAAACAAGAAATCACTTTTAACTCACAGACTTTCACTCATTCGCGGACCATTAATGCAGATTATTGTGGTACAATGATGGAGTTTTGTATCTACATGACGGTATGAGAAGTTGTGTTTATGGTGTAAATGTAGGTATCATCTTGTTTTATACAAAGACATTGTTGTCGTTTATTGTATTTTAAATATAAATTCAGTCCAACACGATAAAGATCTTTCTGGTCTTTGTGTTCGGGGGTGAGGGCGCGAGAAATTTTACACTGCAGTATTCCAGCAACATCACGGCGGACGACGTCAGAAATTGGTTTTTCGTAATGCGTTCTGCATTCTGCAATGTGATGCATTTGCCTCCACTGGAATACCATGTGTCTGTAAACAGAGATCAGACCTGCAGGTATGGTCAAGTCAAGAGTGAGTGAGTGAATGAGTTTAGTTTTACGCCGCACTCAGAAATATTCCGGCTATATGGCGGCGGTATGTAAATAATCGAGTCTGGACTAGACAATCCAGTGATCAACATTATGAGCATCGATCTGCGCAATTGGGAACCAATGACATGTGTCAACCCAGCCAGCGAGCCTGACCACCCAATCCCGTTAGTCGCCTCTTACGACAAGCATGGTTTACTGAAGTTTCATTCTAACCCGGACCTTCACGGGTGACTACATTATGACTGGACACAAGAACATAATGAAAGTTGACACCTCGATGTTGACAGAAGGATCGGTCATGACACCGGGTGTTCACGGGAAGGGTAAACGTGTCTTCCCATCCGGCAGCTTACAGGCACTCACACAACGTCATAGCAAATGCAAGGGACTGTTTGTTAAGAATTGTTAGCGATATTATATAATTATTTCAAATTTTTCAAACAAATTCATGATTCAAATTGGTGATGGTACTTAACATGTGAATAGAGTGGCAGTTTATATGATCACTATCCTTTCTAATCTAATAATAACATTGAGAGACCTGTGAATTGCCAATGTAATATTCTTTACCTTCATTTTTCTCAGCTCTTATTTGATTTGCATAGCAATAAAAGAGTCACCATAAGATCGACGGTTTGCAGCCAATGATTGTACTTAAAAAGATTGTATTCCAAATACACATGTACCTTAAATACTTCGATGGTTAATCATTCTATTTCTTAAAAAAACACCCAAAAACTATTGAGGTGCCGTTATTTAAAATGTGGAGCTGTTATGAACATCCGATGGTACACTACATTATCGCCTGATGGTTATATCAAGATCGTGGTCAACTTGAGATTTGCAGCTGTACAGTTGATCAACTTGCATATATTAGACATCGGTCTTTCAGGATTTAACTTATGGTGTAGACAGGATCATTTCTTCAGGAATGGATACGTTTTTAGAAAAATCATTTGCATAACTACACGTGTCTGTAATCGCTGACAAGTTGTAACCTGGAGACATTGCCACATCGTGACGGACGCTTCCTCATGTCAAGAGTCCGCAGGCTCAGTTGGCTACATGTGCATCCATGCATGTAGCTCCTGCAAATATGAGTTGAAGATCTCTGGTGCATATATTGCTCATTGGTAAATGCTCATAAGTGCCCATTTACGTCACAGAACTGTAGGTTGAACATTTTGATTGCATATATTACGTCACAGATCTGTATGTTGAACACCTCTCTTGCATATATTACGTCACAGATCTGTATGTTGAACATCTCCGGTGCATACATTACGTCACAGATCTACGGGATGGACATTTCTGGGCATATCTGATTACAAAGAAATACAAAGGAACAGTTCCTACCATACGACATAAGTTGCTGGCGATCTATGGCCCGATTTTACAGTGTATTGTTTTGAAATGATTTAAGATTTTACTCTGATCTCAAACTAGTTTTAATCAATTTGTAATAATCTAGTCGTTATACTGTCCTTCGCTCACATGTTTCTAATAAGTATAAATATATTTATTCTTAGTACATAACATTTTGTCGTCACGATATGGCTGAAATATTGCCGATGTGATGCGTTAAATGTTAACTCACTCACTCACTATCATACGACGCATGGGGCGCGATGACAACAGCTGATCTATCAGCTAAAGGTAACTCCCTTGTGTCAAGCCCAAGATTGGAATCAATAAGCAGCGGATCCTGGCGCAGCTATAGGATGTAACTCTACAGAACTGAAACTCCATATGGAACTCCCTTGTCTTTCAGCGATTGTAGACATTGAATACAATGAAATTAAGGACAATCCCAGAGTGATAAAATATATACTTTTATGTACATAACAATATCATCGAATATGCAGATATAATACATAGTAATGTACATTTTCTTAACAAGGATCACACTACATCTGAGACAGATTACAGTTCACATTTGTCTGAAGGCAGTATTGCTGTAACAGACATTTTCCGTCGGAAAACAAAACATTGAAAACACAAATAGAATCTATAGGCATTGATCCAATGTTCCCAGTGATTATCGCTCGTTCGGACCTGATCACAAAAAGTGTGTTTGAAACAGCGAAATATATTTTGAAGTGCTCTTGTATTCTTCCTTAAAATATACTCCCATAGTTCTATATTTTGGAAGATGACATGGAACGTATAGACGGAATGCGAGTGGATAAGGACCCATGATACAGATCAGAAACTTTGATACAATAAAAGCCGTGGCGTCGGGTTTGGTGCGTTGCTGACGTTGCTGCAAAACAGCTGATATCACCCCAAGACCAATATCTTTAAAACTGCCAATTCTGAAACATTTTTTTATCAACGAAATGTGTGTACTAAACTGATTTTGGCAACCCGATTCGCGGTTACTAAACGGATCAACACGATTGCAGTGTTAATCCTCAGCCGTATAGCAATCCCTTCGTTAAGTGAGCGAGTTTGGATTAAATTCCAGTTATAGCACGGTTAGTTTAATATAGGAGCACGACCCAAAGTGATGTTGGTCTTTGACGTTTGCGACCTTAGTACTCCCGGTGACAAACAACGTACACAAATCATATTTGGCGGTCGCGCAATCTGGAACCAGAACTGGTTTTGAATTACGCTTGTCACCGGAAATATGGTACCGGAAGTAAGCTGGGCCCCGTCTCGCATATCGCCAGTTGGCGCGCGCAGTGGGAGCCGGGAACCAGCTTAGAACCGGGAGTAGCGTCTCGCGAGACTTAGAGGCCCAAAACCACATGTGACTTGCTATGGCATGACTTCAATAGCACTCCATCTCCTGTTCAGCGTGTCTCTGTTCGTTGAGATGAACACTGCGGAAACAATCTTATGACGTGCGTGACAACACTAGGTACGCCACAGCAACAACGTCTCCGGCATCTACACGAGCAAGGGGCAGTGGTTTTATGGATCCGATTTGAGCTTCAACAGAAGGTGCTCAACAATGATGGTACGACCTTGGACCATGAATCGTTTCCTTTATCGCATATCAATTTCTAACTCGTCTAGTTGCATTTAGTAATCTCAGTTTTGAGGCTACTGTTATGGTATCCTGGAACCTGAGATCACTTCTCTGCTATATGGTAGTTCCAAAGGTCCGTTAATGTACAGCACAACTACCAATATCTCTATGCAACGGACAAATAATGTTAACATTTACAGGTCTTTTGGTGAAGGAAATGTGTCTGGACAGGTTTAGATCAATCAGATCGAAGATTAGATCAATCCCCGGGCGAATTTCGAGTGTTTGCGGAAGATCGTCACTAATAAATGCAAAGGCCTCTGAAGTCCACAGGGGAAATAATCTACAAACCAAACATTATCTTCGTTATAAGATATAGAGCCAAGGATATAAGATATTGAGCGAGATGCATAGATTAGGGAACAACGCGTTTCTCTCTAGATCTGAAAACAGCAATCAAAGATTGATAGTCTGGTGTCGATGTTATTCTGTCCAACCATCAATATATCTTAATAATATTCCAGTAGTGTTGGAGAATGACTAGCACGGACGTTGACGATGACAAAACGTGGTAAATAAAACTTACTGACACCATCTTCTTGTAGTAACCCAGTCATAGGTATTGCACATGTTGTATGTACATAAGGTTTGTCTTGTGTGTATATAGATTATTCCCGGCAATCAGCGTCTTGTGTACGTCCCTGCCACTTGAGGGATGAGAATGTTCTGATTGTATAGGCCGGTCATAAGATAGACAGATATATTGGTACAACTTCCGGTTCTACTTCCCGTGCGCGGAGTTTTCCTCATATTCGGGGGAACTGCGCATGATTTCCTCGTACGATGGCGGTTTGTCAAGCTCCGACGTGACTACGTCATATGGAGGAGGTCGGCAAACATCGGGCATGTCCGCAGAAAGGCCAGGATTTGCGGTATCTGGAAGAGAGAAATATGTTGTCACTGTTTGTGAATTTCGTTGGGGTAAAGACTTCTATTTTTTAGTAACGAAGTGTAAAGGTAATTTGTTGCAGGTGAATATATATTTGTTAAGTCCTAATAGATAAAATCATATATTATGTAATATGTAATATCAATAATGATGATAATGATAATATCATAATTACAAAATACTGCCAAAACAGATATAAAACATTGCCATAAATAAATAAATGAATGAATGAATGAATGAATGAATGAAAGAATGAATGAATGAATGGCAAACTTTCTTTCTCCATTTACTCTCCTAAACTCCTAAAATATCAGTGAGTAATACTGAATAATTTTCAATGACCGAAAGTCAGACTTTTGGATTTTATGTCACACGTGACTGAAGTACCTTGCCATAGTGTCAGGATAACTATCATTCGGTAATGATCATTCGTAATTTCTCATAACTTGGTAGTCTCCAATTACTTGGCAGGATTCATTAACTCGGACGATTTACCTTGGGACTGTCAGTCTGGATTAACGCGGTGAAGACACAACGCCATTTAGAAAGTGATCAAATGTAGCCCATATTTCATTTGGGATTATACTATCTCTGTACAGTACATATTCTAGTACTTTTTTGGTACTTAAATGAGAAGGTTAGATTCCAAATATGTTGGATAGACGTGGTTTTGATGTAAGTATATTACACAGGGTTGTAGAATCTTACCAGTATGAAATACTGTCGGCGTTAAGACTGCGGTGCGAATGATGTGTCGGGACCTGGCCTGCGATCTGGCGCAGAAGCAGCACGTCAACACCACGATGACAACAATGATGACGACGGCCCCAGCAACGCAACCAATCACCAGCTCCAGTCTAAACACATGTAACTGCATATACATCAGATGTTCACAAGAAATGCATGTTAAATAGTAAATTCCCTTTAGTAAGGCCCCCATTAGTCTGAAACCCGATATTGCTGACGAGAAATATCAAAATTGGTCTTCTCAGAAAATGCGTTTGGGTGGGATCAAACGACACTGGCAAAGTATGCCTGGTAAAGCATTATGACATCATCCGTTACTATGACAGCACAATACAAGGATTAGATGATTAGCTCGGCCACTAAGGCTGTCTATGTGTACATTTAACATTTAGACACTGATTATTTAACAAATTTGCTCTTTTAATCCCAATGTTTAAGTAAAAAGTATTACTTTTTCTATGAACTATTATAGTTAAAGTACATGTCGGTCAGTTGCGTTTAGCCAGGCTCATGCCACAGTTAAGACTTTTTAGAATATAGTTGTTACACATATAGTTGCTGAACTTCGCTTTATTTGTTTAAATGAGATTTTCTAAGAAGATTACTCTTAACTATTTTGATGGCATTTTCATTCTGGTTACAATAGAATTATGTCTATGTTTTTCCGAGATTTGAAATACTCACGGGAGAGAGGGACAACAAACGTTCTTGATGACATCCCCGCAGCATCCGTGACGACAATACTTGAACTTGATGTTGCTCCCGAATATGTCGTCAAAGGAGTGGAATGGACACAGATCGGCAGAAACTGCTGGAACGATATTAGTGAGTGGGTATGGTTTTACGACGCTCTTTAGCAATATTCCAGCAATATCACGGCTGGGGAGTCGGAGGGACACCAGAAATGGGCTGCACACATTGTACTCATGTGGGGAACGAATGCTTTAACCACTAGGCTACCCCACCATATACTCTGACCATTGACATCAGAGTACACGAGTGAGTACACCCCGAAACGTTGCAGTACTACCACAGTAGGACAAGCAGGTACTGATGTTACTTATATGCTTTGAAAGAGTAACAACATGTACTATATTTTAATGTGTCTGGTGTAACGCAGTCTGGGATTTAACTTCCGTTCCCCGGGCAAACGCTGTGTCCACTAGACGGTATCATTCCCCTAGCCCCCGTCCCCCTAGCTCCCGTCACCCCAGCCCCCTGTTGTTACAAGCCACTAATTAGTGGCCTCAAGTGGACGTGCAGTATGAGGAAGCATATGCTCAGTGCAAGGCATCCCTTGTTATTTCCAAGGATCGACAAGTTGTTGATAGCAAGCACGATCACACTCACCCACCCAACATGGGAGAAGTAGCAGCGAGGAAATTGAAGGGCAACATGAGGAAGATGGCGAGAGAGGAAGCAGTTCCTATGCAGGCCATCTACGAGGAGGAGAAGGTTCGTCTTTTGACTAACCATTCTGATGCCACCTCACAAGAGACTGCTACTAATCTGCCGCAGTCCATCAATGTGAGGTCAGTACTATACCGTGAGCGGAGGGAGCGGTTCACCCAGGATGCCATCAACAAGAGCCGGCATCAGCCTAGAGGACGAGTGGACGTCTACTGAACAGGGTGACCGGTTCCTTCTTGGAGAGGATGGAGCTGGGGAGGATAAGATCATCGTATTCGCCTCTAATGTTGAGGAGCTGCAGAACTCTGACACTTGGCAAGTAGATGGAACATTCGAGACATCACCTGCTCTGTTCTACTAGCTCGTCACCATTCACGCGTTTGTTCTTGGAGTGATTGTATTTGGTTTCCTCCCGAACAAAACTGCTGAAACCTACACAAGATTCTATAACATGCTGTTGGACAAGGCTTCAACTCTAAGCTACCATCTGAGTCCATCCCGTGTGATTCAGGACTTTGAACTTAGTTTGATGAAAGCGTGTGTTTCTGTATATAGGGGTGTAGGGACAGATGTTGTGATTAAGGGGTGTTATTTTCATTATTCACAGTGCTTGTATAGAAAGTTACAAAATGGAAACTTAACTACAGACTATGAAGCAAATTCTACAGTCAGGCAGTGGTTCATGATGATGTTAGCTCTTCCTTTACCCCAGTTTCCCAGGTCAGACACGCGTTGTCACACATTCTCGAAGGTACGGTGCCGGGAAGGCTAAAATTTATTTTTCAAATGTCCCGGGAAGGCTAAAATGTATGTTTCGGATTTCCCGGGAGAGCTCATTTCCAAGAGAGTAGGGGAGTACCACCAAAGCTAAAGATACGGTGCTGGGAAGCATAATCCATGTCGGGAGTAGATTTGGGGGGTTTAACGTTGGCTTCTGGCTAAGCCAATATCGCGATATATTTCTGAAACGTTAGAACTTTATATAAGTGGCGATTGTATTTAAGATGTATTTAATTATAAAAAAACATTAGAATAATAGTCACTAGGCATAATCCATGAGTAGATAGATTTCTTTTCAAATCATTGTTATAATACTTCGCTTGTTTACGGTTCGGGTTTCCGAAAGGGGTACTCTACTTTATATAATATTTTTGTTTTTAATTGATATACTTAAATCTAAGAAGAAAAAGTTATATAGTGTTTTTATAGACTTTCAAAAAGCCTTTGATAATGTCTGGCGTGTGAGACTTTGGCCAAAAAAAATTAAACACGGAATCACTTGGTAAGTTTAAAAGGTTATTTATAATATGTATGATAACGCCAAGTGTTTCAACATGACTCTACCTATTTTGACTGTTGTAAAGGCGTACGCCAGGGAGAAAATTTATCACCTCTCCTTTTTTCACTGTTTATTACTGGCGTTGAATCATATCTAGCGATATGCCTGTGATGATGTAGAAAGTGATGACATATTTGGATTTGTTCAGATTTTTGTACTGATGTATGCTGATGACATGGTATCATTTGAGCCCGGATGAGTTGCTGCATAACATTGTTGTAATGGTATATTTAAGTTGCAGTTAAGTAGATTGATAGAAATGTGTTTTTCCATGGAAACTGATTATTTAATGTCGAATTAAAGACAATGCATAATGAAGAATAGGCATGAAAATGAGTAAATAACTGTATTTATATTTGTATGTGTGCCCAAATGAAAGAGCGTCCACGGTAATCCTGTTTTCTTTGTAATTTGTCAGAGCCTCCGAGTGAGGAGGACCGTGTTCATTCAGCCATAACATTGCATTGCAAGTACCGCGAAGGCTACGCTCATTGAACCGAGAAGCGTCGCGATTTTAGCCTTCCCGGCCATGAACCTTCTGGAAAAGGCTCCATCTGTGTTGAGGAGTTCCACAAGTACTTCGAGTCAACCTGGATGAACGGAAAATACCCACTGGACATGTGAAACTTTTTTAAATATGACGGTCCCAGAACCAACAACCATGTGGAAGGGTACCACACACGTCTGAAGAAGAAGGCCAGTAAGGCGCATCCCAACATATTTGAGGTTATTTATCCACGAGGAAGCATCCAGCCAAGTACAGCTTTTGCAACTCAAGTGTGGACAGTCTGCTCCCAAAAGTAGGAAGCAATATGTAGATAGAGACCACAAGATTATATGCCTTGAGAAATCTTGACTCATACCTGTTTGCCATTGGACATGATGGACAATATGTACGTCGCATAAAAACAACCGATCTGACTCTACCGTCAGACCATGAGTCAAGATCTGAATTAATACATTTGTGAATGTAAATAAATATAGAATCTTCATATTTGTTTTGTCAATTATTAGCTACAGTGACCATCTACTGATCAATAATGATCACTGAGCCGTGATTCTCTATTATCTCCCTAAGTATCGGTAGTCACCTACTCAGAGCGGTGGGGTAGCCTAATGGTTAAAGCGTTGGCTCGTCACGCTGTGAAGACCCGGGTTCGAATCCCTACATGGGCACAATGTGTGAAGCCCATTTCTGGTGTTCCCCGCCGTGATGTTGCTGGAATATTGCTAAAAGCGGCGTAAAACCAAACTCAGTCAGTCAGTCGAGTAGTCACCTACTCACTACCAACACCTTACCTAACGAGGTAACTGGCAATCAAAACCATAATCTCTACAAGAAGTTAACCTAACGAGCTTACGAGTTAATTAATAGTAGCAGTTAATCCAGCTACAGGGGAGTGAGTACAGCTAACAGAACAGCCAGGCGAGAGGCTAGAGGTACTAATTTGTGGCCTGTAACAACAGGGGAGCTAGAGGGACGGGGCTAGAGGGGTGGAGTCCCCCCTAGACCACAGAGATCGTATATGCATCTGACCAGGGATCAAACATGGTTTGTGTTTGATCACAAAATTATTCACATGAACGATACATCCGCGTAAATTTAAAGTACTCAGAAACACGGAACAGTCCATTTTCATTTAAGGTGGTCATGGTCGCAACATTATGCCCGTGCCTGTGTGTGCATGTGTTTATGTCAGTATAAAATGTGCGTGTGTCTGTGTACGTGAAGAATTTCAGCCATTTCCTTAAGCAGGATCCGCCTAGCACAGGTTTGAATACGTGTTTGCTCTAATAATAATCTCTTGTGATGACCAGCACACTGTCCGTGTCCGCGAGTTTATTTCAATTTTTCAAAGTGGTCAAATTCTACTGTCTAGGTAACTTCGGGTTTTGCTCCCAGTGTGCTGGGATAACACGATGTGATATACCTGACATTTTGGTTAAAACATCCTACGACCAACTCCCGTAACTTATATGTTTAGACACTGTAACTGTTCATAATTTCATAGCCTGGGTTAGTCTAATGTTAACAGACAACGTAGTGTTCCAATTATTATGCAGCATATTTATGAATAATATTCGGGCAGGTTTCAGTATGTGTGTGTATGAGCAGACACGTCACGTGACATCACATGGAGGAAGTACAGAAGGGGTGCGTCACACATATGTCACGTTACTACATCGTATTGCCGGGAGACAATCCGTTATGCATCACCGAATATCACCTGTGTCTACCTGTGCGTTTAATTATCTGGGGTTTTCATTTCTGACAAATGTCTTCCAGGATTTAAAAATAAGAAAAAACAGAAATTTCCTTAATACGTCATGACACACGCGGATCCCATTGAACATTTTTAACCTTGCATTCATCATGCAACTTTGTTATTCATCCCCGGTGTAAAATCAAATTTCGAAAAATCCTGTGGACGTGTAAATAATAAATTCTCTGTTGTCGTTGAGTTGTACTTTGTCTCAGGAATACTGACGGATTGCTGACTCTCGCTCCCTCCTGTCATCTCAATCAGCCCTCCCCCATCCTCTCTCTCTCTCTCTCTCTCTCTCTCCTCTCTCTCTCTCTCCTCTCTCTCTCTCTCTCTCTCTCTCTCTCTCTCTCTCTCTCTCTCTCTCTCTCTCTCTGAAAAACACCTGTTTACCTTTTTCCGTTTTGATTTGACTTTTTAAAACTTTTCGTCATTTCAACTATGTTCGCCATTACCGTGAATGAATGAGCCAGAAAGGTGGGTTCCATTATGTGAGGTATTCCTGTTGTTTGTGCCCCGTGCACACCAGACTTGGCTGGTACTCCCTGACTTCAATCTAAATGTCACTATCAAAGGCGACCCACGGGCCAACTCACCAGAAATAGCTGTCTACGTTCAAGTCACCGTTTCGACTATTTGTATACCTGTTGTTCTTAATCCCCACATTCTCTGAGATCGTACTTGTGTTTGCTGGATAGGTCGTATAAACGACACTCTAGCCTATTCAGCACATCTCAGTGGGCGAATGGGCGGTGGGGTAGCCTAGTGGTTAAAGCGTTGGCTCGTCACGCCGAAGACCCGGGTTCGAATCCCCACATGGGTACATTGTGTGAAGCCCATTTCTGGTGTCCCCGGCCGTGATGTTGCTGGAATATTGCTAAAAGCGGCGTAAAACCAAACTCAGTCAGTCAGTCAGTCAGTTGGCGAAATAAGGTGCTATAATATTGCATTTTTCCTGTATATCTGATTAATGATACTTTTTTCTATCTTGAGCCATTCAAAAGTCCTTATGAATAGTACCCTTCTCTGATTAGTAAGTGAGTATGGATTTACGCAGCTTTTAGCAATATTCCAGCAGTATCACGTCGGGGGACACCAGAAATGGGCCATTGTACTAGATGTGGGGAATCGAACTAGGGTTTAGCGTGACGAGCTGACACTTTTACCATTAGTCTAACCAACTCTTTTTTCTGTTATTATTCTTTAACAGATGTAGTTATTCTTTATATAATTGTCTTCGTCAGCTCTTATGAACAAATCTCTCCCCAAAGTTACCCTGTTTGGTCGGGGGCGGTGGGGTAGCCTAGTGATTAAAGCGTTCGCCCGTCACTCCGAAGACCCGTGTTCGATTCCCCACATGGGTACAATGTGTGAATCCCGTTTCTGGTGTCCCCACCGTGATATTGTTGTAATATGGCTTAAAGCGGCGTAAAACTAAATTCACTCACTCACTCTTAGGCCGGTCACCATATTATTAGTAGCCGTTACTGTTATACTGGCACTGTAGTTTAGCGGGCCCTAGAAGTTAATAACGGTTCAGAAGGTCGTTTGTACACGATGACCTAACACACATTCCGCTGGTCAGTGATCGGAGATGAAGTATTGTTACACGTACAAGCCTGAGTGACCACCAAAGGGCAGAGCGTGTTCTAGGCTGACATAATGTGACCACATTGAGCTGGTCACTGAAGCCCTACAGTCTCCGACATAATGACGTCTAATGACCCAGGTGGTTCTACTGGACAGTGGTCGAATTAAGTAATCGCTTTGGGTGACCCACTGGCCTTGTTGTTACTGAGGAAATCATAATTGTGACATGTGGACCGTTCGTTTGATGATTTTGTACGAGTGGACAATCATATTGAATAACTATGAGTAAAGGAATAAATAAATAAGTGAGTGAGTGAGTGGGTGGGTGGTCTGGGTGGGTGAGTGAGAGAGTGGGTGGGTGGTCTGGGAGGGTGAGTGAGTGAGTGAGCGGATGAGTGAGTAAATTAACAGGAATCAATAAATATATCACTCTATGGACTGTTTGATAGACAGAAGATAAAACTGAACGTTAACTCCTTAACCACTGGGCAAGACGTGTACACCACAAACTGAGACTGATTGGTACCCATGTACAGATAATCACAACACCATGTACAGACGCCTCAACAACAGTCTGGGGAGGCATGGCGGCGAGAGGGTTGTAAATCAGCTCGCATAAACTCCGGCCCGAGGCTGTTCGCCCTACCTGGCCCGATCCTAGTGTGACAACCAACCTATTTATATCTACCTTGTATCATGCTTAGGCATCCATTAACCCGATAACGATAGCATCGACCATCTTATCTCGTATACATACATTGTGGGGTCTTATGCAAGTCAGAGAAACGAACAGTTTTAGCTGAAACAGACATGAGAAAGCAAGGTTCCTACGTATCATGCTATTTCGTTGTTGTTTAAACTTTTACGTATATAAATTACGTAACTGTAGCGCTTGATAGACGCTAAAAGGACACTTTCTCAACAGTTTAAAGTTACCTGTCTGGGTGATTTTTTACATGCAGTTTATTCTTGTACCGTAATGCGTCGGTCTCACTGTCAAATTCGTAAACACATAATGTTCTGTACCATGTCACAATTCTACAGGTGTGTACATCATCTCAGATTAAGGAGTAAACTTCACATGAAACTTCCAGATACCATATACATAAATAAATTCATATTCCATCTTCGTAAAAATGAAAATATACCCAACACTTACGTTCCAACACTTATGATGAATTATATGCCGTACTTACTGAACTTCAGAGATCATGGGAAACTTTTCATACCTATTTAAGAAAACATATTTCATATCCTTGTTCAATAAAATATTATTGGACTTTTACTTGGGTTAATTAAAAGTGAATTGTGCTAGGAACTTACCAAACTCCAGGAGACTACTTATAGTTAGCAGTAATAGAGGTAGGTAATCCATGTTGTTGCTCCTCAGTTGAAACTGTCTGTCCCAGCGAGTCCCAACCGTGACGTTTATGTACATGCACTTCACAGGACCTGAGGCCAGAGCGCGGGGTCAACAGTTTTCAAACCGGTTCGTAAACAACCGGTTACGATTAGCCGCGGAGAAGAGAACACATTTACCGCCAATCATAGCAGTGATTTCCAAACTGGTTTAGGAGTGTGGTGATTCGGGTCGCAAGAATTTCCGTCAGTCGATAGCAATTTTGGTTTGTTTTTAATATATATCAAAAACAAATCTTAAACTGTAAAAAAGAAAGTTTGTTTTGAGAATCGAACTTCAAGAATGACACATTCAAAATGCCTATAGTCCCCTTGTAGAAAATGAGTGAGTATTTTTTACGCCGCTTTTAGCACTTATTCAGGCAATATCACGGCCCACACATTGTAAGGTCCCCTTGTAAAGAACATAATGGTCTATGCTGAATAATATGATAATGACAAAATCGTCCCTTTTATTCACAATGGTAAAACACTTATTAAAAAACAAAACAAACGTTTTTGGTCCATATTTTTCCATGAACCCGTGAAGATCCGGGTTAGAATATTGATCTTCAGTAACCCATGCTTGTCGTAAGACGCGACTAACGGGATCGGGTGGTCAGGTTCACTGACTTGGTTGACACATATCATTGTATCCCAATTGCGTAGATCGATGCTCATGCTGTTGATCACTGGATTGTCTAGTTCAGACTCCATTATTTACAGGCCACATCCATATACATGTCGCTGAAATATTGCTGAGTAGGCGTTAAACAAATAAACTCCAAAAACAAACCCTATTTCCATGAAATGCTTTATGCAAAAAGGTAGTTATATTTGATTGTACTTTCTTATTGTTCTCTGAACAGTAACATAAAAATAAAGATTAATTGCTGAAACATTTCCAGTACTGGTTGATCATGATTCGGAGACATTAACTTTGTCAGATATATTAACTATGAGATATTTAGTCATTCAACCATAATGAAAACTATACTAGATATAACTCACCAAAGCCAGAGATTAATTAAAGTACTAGTCTTTATTTTCTACATCTAGCATAACAGACGGGAGAAATAGATGAACGTAACACTAAAAATCAGCAAGCGCACCAGGTATCGCAAAAAGGATGTGTTTGTCCTAGCTAAAAGCAGCATTCGACACTCACACAGATTGCATGAGTGAGTGAGTGAGTGAGTTCAGTTTTACGCCGCTTGTAGCAATATTCCAGCAATATCACGGCGGGGAACACCAGAAATGGGCTTCACCAGATTGCAAGAAAAGAGGAGTGTTTCGAAAAAGAATTAAAAAGTCGATATTGATATAATTATCGTATAGTAAAGGATAGTGTGACGAAACTCTATGTACAGGGAAGTCGTTTTTTCTTATGTGAAACTGCATCAGTATTGAAGGAATCAGTTTGAAATAGATAACAGTAAAACAGCCAAAGATGGCAGCCATTATCATCAAAGACAGTTAACGGCGCATTCATCTTACAAACCCGTTTAACAGTCCGAAGTGCACTCAAGATTTAGATGTGACTGCATCGGTTGATGGTCGAGATGAGACATAGATATTGATCCAGAGTGTCACTTCTGCAGATAAAGTCTTCGGTACAAGATCGGTCGAGCTGAAAATGGATATCCTGTTATGCCTGTATGTTTTGCCTTTTTTGATTTAAGAAATAAAAGCGATTTAAGACATTGGGGAAAACATTTGTTCGCTTGGTGTCTTCTAATCATAAATCTAGTAATGTGAAGTTGTCAAAATGTATATATTCAATGCAATGAAATTGTTCAAGAGACTTCATCAAAAATGTGTTTCTGTAATGTTATCTTGTTTGGCCAATGGAAAGATATGTTTTATCAGTAACTCCGCTGAACTATGAGCGGCGGGCAATAATCTAAGAGTTGACACTCCCAGGTCGGTTTAAGGCTTACACACATGGATATCATTGTAATTAGTTATGTATATTTCATATCAGCTGACAGCTGGTGTGTTTCCTGCAGCTAGTCTTCTATATTTAGTTGAAGGTTGGTAATGCGGTGACACATGAGGTAGTGGATGTCGCTATGTGATGGTGTCATGGGGTCATAAGATGTACGACTGGTAACCTCGGGATTCCACATGCTCTGGCTTGTCACTTGAAGCTACGTTACTGAAAGGACAACCGCTACAAATTGGGCTGTGGCGTTAAAGCAATAAGTAAAGGATTTCTAAAAGACAATGACTTTGAATGTTCTATAAAACCGCGACGTGCCACTGTTAAACACGAATTCCGCCTCCGCTTAGGGTTTAGCTTAGTGGTTAAAGTGTTCGCTCGTCACGCCGTAGACACCGGGGTTCGATTCACACATGGGTACAATGTGTGAATGTGAGACCATTTCTGGTGTCCACTCCCCCCTTCCCGTGATATTGCTGGAATATAACCATAAGCGGAGTAAAAGCACATTCACTCATACTCACTCCGTTAATGAGCTGTCCACTTTATAACAGGCTGCACAGAGACCAGGTACGATACTTCAATGATCATCCGATAAATGAATAAGTAAGTTGCTTTATCTTTGGGTGAATGTTTTAGCTGTGTCCTTTTACTGATCTAGCATATACGACTAAGTCGGTTAAATAACTTCAACTAAATTTAACATGAGTTTAATTGAATTTTTTACTCCACGCTATCGCATCTGTGAACCATAAAATAGAGAATAAACGAATATTGTGCTGTATAAGTGAAGAAAAATAAAAATATAGTGGGACTGGATGAAAAATATTGACTAATCACATATTGACGAAGGACAATAACTGTACCCGTATCGAGAAGTTACGTGATCACTTTGTGAGTAATGCAACAATAGAATGTACGAAGCGGGTGAGTCACATTTCCTGTTCATTTCGTTGAAATGGTGACTTTCATCCAGAGTCTTATGAAATGTCAAGACACTGAAATCCATCATAAATAAACTAAGCGAACCTCTGAAGGTCACATGTGATAACATTATTCAAAACTGACAGCGCGACACGGCGAAGCTGTATAACGAGGAGACACTCGTTACCTGTACCTCTATATAACGCCACACCTGTGTCTCGTATCAACCCTAGTGTGACCGAAGAAAATGGCGTCGTTTACTCTCTCGCTGTTGATCTTCCTGTCGGTGATTGCAGGTAAGTCTCTTTACACACCTTTACGACGTTACACGAGACGAATTATTGTTACCGAAGTCTAAAATGTCATATCTAGGAAAAAGAAAACTTATTAGTTTGAGTTTCAAAGTCGGAAACTGTGAACAGGCGGAAGTGCAAACGAGACAGGTATTCCGTGCTGTTTTGCTCTGCAGGATGTGGGGGTATGATTTCTCAGAACTATTAATCTGTTGTAATTGATCTCATTATTTAATTAATTGCTCATAATACGTGTAGGCAATATATGAAGCGACGGTAACCTAGGGTTTATAAGCAGGCAACCCGTGATACTGGCTTCACAAAACGACACACCTGAGAACGATGTGACCCAAATTCGTCCCCGATTTGATTGTGATACAAATGGAGGAATGCTGATATTAAAACCCAGCGCTCTGAAATACAGCTCTGTACATGAGCTGGCTAGTGTAAAAATCGATGTTTATGTACACATATAGATACAACGGTAGATATAATGTCGAATAGAGAGGTGGATTCCTTGGATATTTTTGAATTATTTGTAGTGACGTCAGCTATCTATTTATAGCACGGAGGAATGCCAGGTGTAGACAGTGTTGATGATCAGTGCAGTGAGTGACACGTGACCGTGTACAAAACAATGAGTTAATTCTCACTGTATAGCATATGACTGTCTACAACTTCAGGAATAACGAACGAATTTCACTGTAAAGTATGAGAAATGTAGACGATGACAACGATTATTCCAATAATTACTATTTGATGATAATTTCTGTGTTACGATATGATGGGTTGATTAAACTAAGACATCTGTTATCAGTTTGATGATGATGACGATGATGATGATGATGATGATGATGATGATGATGATGATGATGATGTGGATTATGTGTTTGGTGGTGTGAAAGATGATAAAGATTATGACACAGTTGGGGATGATATATTTTTATTTATTCAACACCTCAATATTCCAGCTATATCGCTGCGGTCTGTAATAAAATCGTGTTCAGACCAGATAATCCAGTGATCAACAGCATGATCATCAATCTATGCATTTGGGATACAATGACATGTGTCAACCAAGTCAGCGAGCCTGACCACCCGATCCCGGCTCTTCCAACAAGCATGGGTTGCTGAAGAGCAATTTTATCCCGGATCTACCAAAAGACGTTGAAATATGGCACTTGTTGGGTTCGGCATTAATGGGCAAGGACTGGTCGCTCGAGTCATATAATGTCTGAGTGGGGTATTCACGCTTAACTGCGGACTGGTCAGTGAGCTAGCACTATAAAACCAGCTTAAGTCTGGGCTAGTACAAGCAGCCGCACATACACATACACACGCATGCACGTCGTCATATGAGCGAAATGTTCGTAAGTACGACGTTAAACCCAATTTCACCTCACCCCACCAATCCTGGATAATATTAATAGTAATATTATTCCCAATATGTCGATGATGACGTTTATATTATTGCGTGTTTTAGAGTCGTTGTGCTGGCGTTGTGCCTACTACCGGAACCTGTTTGACCAGCAGCCGGAGTACCTGGACTGTCTGGTGGGATGCTGTGGAGACTCCTGGAACCGACACTGCTGTAGCGAGTAAGTCACAGACAATATGTCTTCAGCAACCCATGCTTGCCACAAAAGGCGACTATGCTTGTCGTAAGAGGCGACTAACGGGATCGGGTGGTTAGGCTCGCTGACTTGGTTGACACATGTCATCGGTTCCCAATTGCGCAGATCGATGCTCATGCTGTTGATCACTGGATTCTCTGGTCCAGACTCGATTATTTACAGACCGCCGCCCTATAGCTGGAATATTGCTGAGTGCGGCTTAAAACTAAACTCACTCACTCACCCACTCACTCCGTTATATAGACTGGCGATAAAAGCATCCATTCACACACCCGTCCTAGAGAGATCGTGGAATTATTATCATGCATTCTGCATTCTCATAATTCTGATCCCCATTTCAAAGGAACACCGTATTTCACTTTTCAAGTCCCAATACACACAAGTCTTACCTTCACTGATCCCGACCATTGTTTAACTAGCTATGTGTCTCATTGTCAAGACACGGGCCAGTAACACAGGCATAAAGTCAACTTTACATTATCGTTTAATATACGACCTATCCATGATATTTTCTTTGATACATTTGAAAAACAATTTTAACTTTCTTCCCTGCCCCAGCTCCTTAACTCCCCCAAGTTAAAAATCAGCTTTCATGTTTTCTTTGCCGACCAGAAGTACAGAAATTGTTTTATACATAGAGCGTCAGTGCTAAAGATTACCCAGTCTTAACTATCATCAGAAACAAATTCTGTTTTGTGTAAAGGGGCAAATAGCCGTGAAAATTGTATGCATGTATCACTGAAAATAAGTTAGAACAATAGGTGATCGCGAAAAGGATCAGCATAATTGTTTCATAAAAAAAATCATATAATGAATCAATAAATAATTTTAAGTTTCATAATCTTAAAAACTTCAAAACATATCAAAGTAGTAATTTTAAAAATTAATTTACCATTTGAAGTTTTATTTCATTTTTCCTACGCTATGATAGTAAGTTTGGGCCAAAATGGATCTTGCAATTATATACACCTCCACCCTCTGCCCTGATGCTGAAACAATACTCTCCCTGCTTCATAGATTGTGTAGATCGATGCACATGCTGTTGATCAGTGGATTGTTTGGTCCAGACTCGATTATTTACAGACCGCCGCCATGTAGATGGAATATTGCTGAGTGCGGCTTAAAACATCAAGCCAACCAACCAACCCACCCTGACTCATATTCGTGTATTTAATGTATTTGCGGGTGTTACATGTATATGTAATCAACAAAATGTCATCAACTCTGCCGTTTCTCCCTATTTGCTAGCATACTTGCATTTCTAATACAGACTATTGCCTTAATCCCTACTGTTTTAAGGATTAGTACGGTCCACTGATTTTAATAACTTAACAATATCTGCAGGCAAAACAGAACACCCCCTAAAATGGTCATCTCGAGATTCAGGTCACAGGATGGTCTGGTCCAGACTCGCCTTGTCCAGGCTGCTGGAGTTTTGCGAGAATAGTGATGACAACGACCTTAAACTAATACCAAACAAAAACAGAAAACACAAGACCACCTGAGTGTCTGTCCCAGGTACCCATGCTGTAGTAGGACCGCCTCCGTGGTGGGTTTACTCCCAAAAGTTAGACGTCCCAAAAGTCAGACAAATCAATCAGGCGTGACTGTGATTACAACCTAGTCTTACCCACTCATATAATGAACCTGCCGCATTCACTAACGAGATGGTTTTCACGTTTATACAGAAATACTTTGATCAGAATACGAATGTTGACTGGGCTTTCCAAATATGTTTTACCAATGGTTTAAAACAGTACCTCAACTCTTCTGATCTCAACATTCTAACAAACCCCAAAGTAATTAAAACAATCACTAGACATCTTATTCATATACAATTATATCAAACAATCTAGAAACAAAAACAATAATACAATAATTCCACTTTTTACCATTTTAATTTTTTTATAAATATGTATATATGTTCTTTTAACTTCAACTCATTTCTAACCTTTTATTATGTTCATCATTATTCACTTAATAATTATGTTTTTAAACATAGGTTGGTTGTTAAGCAACATATTAACAAAAATACAATCAAATTGTTTTGTATGTCAGATAAAGTCATTGTCATTATCCATAATCTCATCTCTTTGTGTTTGGATTAGTATGTTTGGAGTAGTCCATTAATTAACGAAGGTAACAGTGTAGTGAACCTCAGTGCGACCAACCATAACCTTTGTTGTTTTAACGAGTCTAACTTTTGGGACGTCTAACATTTGGGAGGTCACCCCGTGGTGTAGTGGTTAGAGCGTCCGCCCGGAGAGCGGAAGGTCGCGGGTTTGATCCGCGAGCGCGTCATACCAAAATACGTTAAAATATGGTACTTTTGGTCCCTGCCTGGCGCTCGGCATCAATGGGTACATCAAGGACTGGTCGGCTCGGAGTCAGTATACTGTGTCTGAGTGGGGTATTCATGCTTCACTGCTGCATGGTATCTCAGTGGGCTAGCACTATAAAACCAGCTTCAGTCTGGGCTAGTACAAGCAGCCGCACATACACATACACACGCATGCACGTCGTCATATAAGCGAAATATTCTCAAGCACGACGTTAAACCCCATTTCACCTCACCCCATGCTGTGGATAGCCCACATGTGACAGCAAGGCAGGTCGGATTGAACTGATCTTAATTTGTGTCTGCAGGGCTGGTTTGATCATCGGCTGCTGTCTCGCAGCAGTGTTCATCATCATCGTTTCCGTCATCATCGCCTGCTGTTTGATGAAGAAGAGGAGGATACGTGAAGCAAACTACATGAGAGCCAGGTATCCAGCAGCTGGGATGAACATCACACAGCCAGGTCAGTCGGATTATCTCCCTTTAGTAGGATCACTGATCGCTTTGAAAAGTTTAAAATTTCGCATTCTTACACTCTCGCTTAACAGTGGCTTATATATTAGAGGTAGTCTAGTCGACAATGCGTGGGCCAGGCTCGACAAAACCCCAGTTTGATTTCCTTGATGGTTTCATTTTGTGAAATCTATAGTGTCCCTCAAACTCTGTCGATTGCCTAAATAGAATCTACTATAAAGGCCCAACTTACTGACTGAGTCAACAGATTCGACTCACTTAGACCAGAGACCATGTAATAGACCATCTATTGGTTCAGATATAATTTCAATAGAAATTTGCATTATGACATAATTGTGTAAGTGTTACTTGATTAAATATCTGTTCAGAACGAGTTGTGTTTCCCTGGATCAATATCCTGTAGACGGCAGTACCACGAGGCCATCATAATTGTTTAATGTTGGACTGTTTCTAATTACTCACTCACTCAAATTTACTCACTCACTCACTTACAACAACATAAGTTGAGAACAATGGTTTCGAATGACCAACTGTGTGGATACAGATTACTCTGAGCACAAGAGCTTTGTTTTGTACCACAGAAAACTGTGCATTTATGTAGTTTCATAGCGAAATGAAAATTACAGATATTTACGTGCATAACAGTTTCAACACCAACGCATGGGTGGGGTAAATATAATCCGTGAAAACCAAAGAGTTTGGAGTTCCACCAAAGCAGGGGCGGATACAGCTTTTTGAGAAAGGAGGGGTGCACTCTTTTGAGAAAGGGAGGGTGCACACGAGAGTTTCAATGGTCATTTAATAAACTCTCAGGACAAAAAAGGGGGAGGGGAGTTGCGCAACCTTGTACCCCCGCCTGGATCCTCCTATGCAAAGATCTAAGCTGTGATTGGAACGCTATTCACCATGTGTATCTACAGATTCACTACTATGATTTTCAAAAGAATTCCTATTAATTAGTTCACCTTAATTAACGTTTGACTTCTAAACGCGTTTCAAAGATACAGTTCCACGACAAAAAATCAATGGAACGTCTGAAACAGTTACTGCTTCTTGTAATAGAGTAAGACAATGATGTTTCCAATTCTGAATGACCTCTGTTCTGTTTCAGGCTATCAACCCCAGGTCGTGACAGGAAATATTAGGAAATCTTCCTTACAAAAAGACTTGATATAAAATAAAGCTATCTGAGAATGACACATGGAAATTCGGTAAAGGATATGACCATGAGGACAATTATTTGGCATCTCGGCGGACTTCTAAAGCAGTGAGAGCTGGTTCTTCCCTGTGTACGGAGGTGCTGAAAACAGTGGCACCAATCTGATGATGTTTTATTCAATACAAATGGATATGTAATGAAATGACTACGCATGGTACCAACACTGCTTCATACAATTCATATCGTAGTCTCCGAAATGTAGTGACAATTGTTTTATAATTTTTTAAAAATCAATTTTTTTATGAAGACAACCAATCATACACTTCATTTTCATTAACTGTTAAATATATTGGAACATTCGGGCGTACTTTAGTCCCGAAAGAATGGCCTAAAAGAACCAACCTTTCTGATAAAACTTCCAATTTGTTATCCCTGTATCAATGCAAAAAGATTGGATGGAAATAATCAATGTGTAGCCAGTCTATATTGTATGGAATTCTGGGTCTGGTGGAAATGTTAAACAAAACAGCATTTACGTGGCCTTATCATGGTAATTTCTTTTTATTGGAAATATCATTTTGTTCCAGTTTTATCGTATTTATTATTCTTTTAAACTCAGTCCATACAAGTTCCGTACTTCCATTGTTATTTTGAGATAAAATAAACACAGCTGACGTCGCCCCATACTGTTACAGCTTATCCACAGAGTGAGTTAGTGGATGCTTAAGTTACTACTTTTACTATTACCACATACCCAGAACGTTTCCAGTGCGACATCTTTGGTTCAGATGTGGCCACGGCAGGCCCAGTGGTATTAGATACCGCAATTCGCAGTGCAGAGCTGCTTCTCGTTGGCTCATAAGAAACCTATGTTCGAATCCCAAAACGAGTTTGTTTCCAGGTTTGTCAGCACCATTTCTCTTTCTTGCATCACTTCGTGCGTTCCTCCGATATGAAGGTGACACCGTGATGTAACTGGAATACTGTTCAGAGCGGTGATAAGACCAATCCACTCGCTCACTCATCGGTGCAGTTGATAACGTCGCATACCCACCATTGTGATGTTTGATCAGTTTATGTTGATTGCAAATCTGTCATGACCATCAGCTGTTGAACTTGTCATCAACAGTAAACCATGCACATATCCTTTAAGCTAAAATACGCTCATAATTTTATCAGGGAGTTGAGGAATAGGATTTCTCGCTTCCATAAAATGTCATTTCAGTTCTGTATGATCATATTATCCATTTCCATAGCAACCTGTAATTTACACTAGTTAATTGTCATGACCAATTAGAGGCTTAGTTAGTTGAGTCACTATATGCTGGCGAGACGAGTCGCCTATTGTCTTTGTAAATACGTGTATACAGGCTTTAAATGATTCCCAGAGACTGAACAGTGCAGGTTTTAATCAGTGTTGACTGATAATTATACAGATAATTCGGATGTGGGAAATATTTTGACAATTATACACCTGTTTTGCGATCAATGTCCTTGTCATTGTATATAGATTGTAATAAAACATTTGTACCTTTTCGTAAATATGTATAGTGTTCTTGGTACTATTTGCACAGTCTGGAAACTTGGCATGATGTTCCAGAAGTGTAAAAATGTAAACAGTTAATTGCGTTGCCGCGGAAGGCGTGTTTAACAGATACACCGGGAAAACTTTTGCATTAAGTGTTCTATACGTGAAGATCCGGGTTAGAATTGGTCTTCAGCAACCCATGTTTGTCGCAAGGGGCGACTAACGAGGAGGATAGTCATTCTCGCTGACTTGGTTGATACATGTCATCGTATCCCAATTGTGTAGATCAGTGCTCATGCTGTTGATCACTTGATTGTCTGGTCCAGACTTGATTATTTACAAACCGCCGCCATATAGCAGGATTATTGCTGAGTGAGGCGTTCAACAAACAAACAAACTAACAAACAAACAAAACATCAAGGACGTTGCACGTCGTTGTCGATTTGCGTCCGAACGACTCCCATGGCCCAGCAGACGGGCCTGCCTGGAGAGCGGAAGGTCGTCGATGTCGATGCCCGGCTCCGAAACACCAGTTAGGGGATACTGGTTGCAATTCCTGTTGATGTGCATTGTGGGTGTGAAACACTGACCGGTTTTCCCAGATTCTCTGCACTGTGTTAATGAGGTGTTTCATGTTAAAATCAGCGGCATGGTATCTCAAGGCCAGCACTACATATCTATAATTAGTGTGGGATGCTTCACCACCTCCCCTCTCCGCCTGATAGTGATCCGTTCGATTCCCCACATGGGTACAATGTGTGAAGCCCATTTCTGGTGTCCCTCGCCGTGAGATTGCTAGAATATTGCTAATGCGATGTGAAACAAAACTCACTCACTCAGTGATAGTGATCCGTACCCATGGTCGCTGCTTCGTTGCTCTAGCCAGCGGCTGAAGGGATGGTGTAAATCCAGCTAGGGTACATGCAGGTAGCAAAAGTCCCCATGGTTCCTAGTGTAAATCCAGCTAGGGTCCATGCAGGTAGCAAAAGTCCCCATGGTTCCTAGTATGGTGATCTACCTCAGTTGTTGGCGATCTACAGCCCGTGTTTTATATTGTATTGTCTTCTTTAATTAACATCTTTTAGTTTGACATGCTAGTTTTATGTTCATATATGTGATATTCTAGTATTTCTACTGTCCATCGTCGACAGGTTTTACTCTTCAAAATGTTTTCATTCTTAATTGTATAAATTGGTTTCGTCACGATATGACTGAGATATTGCCGATGTGACGATAAATATTAACTCACTCACTCACTCACTGCTTTTTTGCTTTAGGACCCTTAAAGACCTGGGTTAGGATTGGTCTTCAACCCATACTTGTGACAGGCGACTAACGGGATGGGGTGGTCAGACTTGGCTTGGTTAACGCATGTCATCGTATCCCAGTTGCGTATATCGATGGTCATAATGTCAATCATTGTATTGTCTGGCCCAGAATCAATGATCTATAGACCGCTGTCATATGCCTGAAATAATGGCGAGTACTTTTTAAACTACAAACGAACAAACCAAAACGAGGCTTCAGTCTAAAACCATCATCAGTTCATGAGGCCGCCCCATCTCTTCAATAAACGAACCGTCAGGGTGATAGTAGCATGCCGTCTATAATGTATTTATCTTATAGTGTCACAGTACATTCTTACACTGGCTTTCTCGAACTCTTCATGGGGATCCACGGTAGTCCTCGTTGTGTAACTTAAATGTTGTTTCAAACAGCATTAATCCCTTACACTCCTTCGACAATTTACGAGATTTAACAGTGATTGAAATGTCGACAGCTCTCATAATTGATACATGCTCGATTACTGATTTAGATCCATGAACGCGCTTCACCATTGCGCAGAACGGGAAACTGCTTCTAGGTCCTTGGCTATTCCAATCAGGGAGTGTGCGAGTAAGGTCTAACGCCATGTGTGTGGGATTGTGGGTGAATTTAGTTTTACGCTGCACTCAGCAATATTCCAGCTATATGGCGGCGGTCTGTAAATAATCGAGTCTGAACCAGACAATCCAGTGATCAACAGCATGAGCATCGATCTGCGCAATGGGGGACTGATGACATGTGTCAACCAAGTCAGCGAGCCTTACCACCCGATCCCGTTAGTCGCCTCTTACGACAAGCATGGGTTACTGAAGATCAATATTCTAACCCGGACCTTAACGGGTCGTGTGTGGGATAGAATGTTTTAAAAACAAGGCTAGCCTGCTTGGGCTATTTAAACATGTTTTTTTTCCTTATGACTTTTTAAAAGATAACTGAGCAATGAAGTCGGTATTTTCGTTAATGAAAAAAAGTCGTGTCTTGAGGTTGAATACATTAAACGTGATAGGTAGGCAGTTTCAGAAGGATGTTCGGGAGTTCGCGAGGAAGAAGAACTAAACTTTACTCTCGTCGGGGAGGATGCTCCCCCTCGTTTATTTACCAATCCTAAATAATCAAATTAAGCAGCAGAACAGCCATCATAACATACATATGTGTGATGCATCACTGTCAGATAGTTTATCATGTCCATGTTCCGATTTGTGTCGGTGAATCAAGTTCTAGTCAACTTTGATCGATATGTCAGTACACCATGTGGGAGCATCAGATGACAATAATCACTACAGATGACGCCTGTCCTCTGCAGCAGTGCTGTGACGGTGATCCCAGTAGGTCAGTGGTGAGTGACCTTGACACTGCCGCCCTCGCCTGTGGTCAGCCACGTCCTCTCGTTGGTTCTGGTATTGTAGGCGTACACCCTCCCGGAAGCTGAAGGGTAGAGAGGATTGAAAATGAATGTTGTTTAACGCCGCACCATTTAAAGTAACGATATAATGGGACCAGCTTTCCAGCGGAATAGTGCAGGATAACATATGAACAGTACTACACTGATGACTCACGTTCTTAGTTACCGAGTAAATAACTGAGTCCGACGATTGACAGTTAAGGGGAAGCCTAGTGGTTAAAGCGTTCGTTCCTCACACTTGGTACAATGTGTGAAACCAATTTCTGGTATCCCTGTCGTGATATTTCTGGAATACTGGGGGGCGGTGGGGTAGCCTAATGGTTAAAGCGTTCGCTCGTCACGCTGAAAACCCGGGTTCGATTCTCCACATGGGCACAATGTGTGAAGTCCATTTGTGGTGTCCCCCGCCGTGATATTGCTGGAATATTGCTAAAAGCGGCGTAAAACCATACTCACTCACTCACTCTGGAATACTGCTAAACGCGGCGTAAAAACCGTACCCGCCTTTATGCAAGTGTCTATAGGTATACATTGACAAAAGGTCGTTCTAATGCGTTATTCTTGAAGTTCCTATTCTCAAATACTTCTTTGTCATTAATCAAGATTTGTCTTTGATAGTTAACATAGTGCAATTTGAATTGGAAATGGAGTTCTGCACATTGCATTAAGGTGAGCACATCACACATTGTTGTCGTGTGCGGAATCAAACCCCGTCATAGGTCATCATAGGTGAGATCGATGCATCCACAAGTTCGTCCCACATACAATACGTCATCTTAGTACAAGACCCAAATGGTGAGTTTATTTCCGTTTGTAGACCATCGGCCCATGTACAAAAGTATATACAATTCATATATACATATGTATGGCAATTGGCAGGTATACGTGTATTACTATTCCACTAGAGCAGATTTACATTTCAGAGCTTCCGTAATAAACTTTGCACATTTAATCAGAATACTCACATCATGTGAGGTCAATAATTTATGGAATTTACAAATATTTGGTAAAGAATCCCAATTTGGTATATGCTGCTCTCTTAAAGAAACATGCATCACATTCAAACATGAAGTGAAACTCATTTTCAATACTATTATTATTACACATTCTACATATTCTATTTATAGTAAAAGGTTCTTTTTGTCTAACATTACAACGTAAAGGAAGCTCATTTAATCTTAACAAACATAAGTATTTCTTACTTCCCTACTATTAATATTTGATACATAATATTCAACTGTATACAATAATTTAATAAACTTATAATGTACAAGTCTCGATGAAACATTAATATTGCTAAAAAAAATTGTTGTCCACAATCTTCTAATCTCTGCTGAAATAACGACAAAAATATGAGATATCTCCAATATCTTGACTAACCCACGCATATCCAAAACCATACATATTCAACAATAACTTAACACAAGAAGCCCACGTGTTCCTTCCAATAGAATCTAAATTCTTAATGTAAAGATAACATTGTTTGGGGTAGCGAGTGTCAGGCATTCTTAACAATTTACACCAATATTTCACACATTTCAAGTAATAATCTACATAAATTCCATGTCTACCACATTCAGCTAAAGCTGCGTTAGTAGATACATGTTTACCTACACCTTTAACATATTTACAAAAACTATTATGAAATCTATCAATAACAATACGTCATCATGTTCCATCAAGGACAACCTCGGCAGAGGACATACTGGTCTCTTACCTGGGTCAACCGCTCTTCCTTCAAACTCTCTGTTCAAAATGTCGAGAGAACGGAACTTTCTGTTCTGGAACAGATTGCGGGAAGGCTTGCCAGGTGTAGGGTCTTCAGTGTATACCTGTCAGGGGGGCAGCAGATTAGAGACAGTTTTACTCAAATCACGCATCTATTCACAAGTTTGTCTTTGTAATTTTTCTTGCTCTTGACCCAGGGAACAGCCTTACTCAAATACCATTTACATACATATTGACAGCAAAGCCAGCACTACTGCACTATTTGTAGCCATAGTCACGAGGCGCTAAAAGCAATCAAGTGTGAACAGGCGAAGTGGTAGATATCTTTCACATGTAAATGATTAATTATGATAGCATGAGTCAGTATGTAAATGTTTCCTGGTATTCAGCAATGTTCCAGCTCTATTACAAAAAGAATTACACAATCTATTTCACGAAGTCTTTAATTGACAAACCAGATGATCAACTGCATTAACAAACAATATCCACGCTGCTAGATCACGGTGACCCACCGTCACTACGATCACACAACCACCAGGCCCTCATTAGCCAACTGTT